ATTTTATGTAACGAATCACGCAAAAATGTAACGCAAACGTTGGACGTACCGCTTTACTTCTCTCATAATAAATGATTTAAACATATGAGCCATAAGTGATTCTTCAATATCCTTCATAGCCACAAGTAATTCATTAAGCATCTCAGAATATCTTAGTGATCTGAACACGAACAGTTGTTAAGACTGGGATAACTTATGTAACAGGTGCAGTAGTTGTAGGACACACCTGCTAGCTACTAATCGACAGAAAATTGATACTAATTTTAAGTAGTCTGACATTTCAGGAGGACCATCTGCAGTATTCTTCGTAACCCCATGCACACTGATATACACATAATCTGATGCCATTTTTGACAATGAACAATTAAAGCCTTCTGACATTCCAAGTGCTAATGTCAATTAAACTAGTATCATGTCTTCGCCTGAGCAATTTTAAATGGGAACTTCATCAAAGTAGATATAATCACCAGGAAATGCAGCAGCCTGTCTCATTCATTGCATGGTCTCTTCCATGTGCTATGGAATATTTCAGTCATCGCAGATGATAAACAAAGTGTCTGACATCCTCAAAACACACATCAAACTTATGTCTCTAGGCTATTTCCCTTTCAAATGCACGATTCTCATACAATAACTGGGATGACAACAGCCATTGCCTGCAGTCAATTTACAACCTTAAGATCTGAAACAACTCACAAAAAACAATGCCTCAATGCTCTAAAACCCTAATAATAAACTCTTTATGCGATATTTCTTCAAAATGATGACTTTTTTATTAGTAATTCTTCTAGGCTGTCATGACAATTTTACGCATTACTACGAACACAACACACACAAATATTGCATTTTTCGGCTACAAAAGCCTAAAACTAGTCAAATAGAATCTATTTTCACAATACTGAGCGGTTAGAACGTCTCTATAGGCGAGAACGCGATAACCCATGCAATGCGCGAAAACACATTATCATAGAACATAGCCTCACTCCCCATCGTATACCTAATCAGTGTAATTTAAGCGCCAACTTCTCCACCCCATATAAAGTCAATATACGTCATCACAGACTGGAAGAAATATATCACTATTCGGTAGCCATGTAAACAATTTTTAATCCTCTTTTGAAAGCAACAAAGTAAAGGACACTGATAGCGCTATCAGAGTGTTAACCTAGAAAATTTCCAATGATTCAATGCGTGAAGACATGCTTCAGTCCCATGAAGGTTGGCATCTCTGAACTGAAGATTTTCCGAGCTTTCACATCTCAGACCTTACCAGTTTTACTGGCCAGCTAGGTCCCAATGCCGGATAAAAAGATGGAGTGGGACGCCAGGCTGGTGGATCTACCTCGGATAATCAATCACATCGCTATGGAAACCTCAATGCACAAGGAAAATATTAAAAATACAAAGAATAATGTTCCCTGAAATCGAGGAGATAACAGGAAGCCAGTCTCCTTTCAGGGAAGGCAAAAATAATAATAAATAATATAAATAATAATAAACAAAGTTGGGATGCCTGTCAAGGTAACCAAAGAGATGCAAAGATACAGCTATGCACGGTGCTGCAAACAAGGCGGAACAAGAGAAGAAGGAAGACTTGCAGATAAGTACAAACAATAATGGACAAATGGTGACATCGAAATCCCAGTAGGAGGCATGAATGCCAGCTGAACTGGGAGCAGACAACGAGATAGGAGAACTCATCATGGTTCGAGAGTGTCTCGGCGAAATAAATGAGAAAGGGAACTATTCGCAGACTTCAGCGTTTTCAACGATTTGGTGATCGGCGGCGGTGCACAAGGATATAAAAAAGTAACATGCATTCCGCCTGACCAACACACCACAAACCAGATAGATTTCATCTTTATCTCAAGAGAGTAGAGACGCAGCCTGCTGGACGCGAAGTTGAGAAGGGGACAGATGTGGGCATAGACCGTCACCTAGTTCACGGAAACTTCTAAGTGGAGCTAAAATCCGTCAGAACAAATGGAGACAGACAGCAATTCAAGTCCAGCATTCAGAAATTGAAAGATAAAACTACAAGAAATGCCTTCAGTCCAGATTAGATCAGAGCAAAGTCGGAGACACTACGTGTTATCACTGAGGAAACCTGTGTGGAAGAACACTGGAACTAACACCCTGAAGGTGATGTTCAAGGGAAACGTGTACTGTTCAAGGAAGAAAGATGAGACAATATAAGGAATGACATTCAACAGACACCTACCTGTTAGCTAACGGGAGAGAGGAGGATGGTGAAAGAGAAGATAACTCAATGCAAAGATGGGCAACAGAAGGAGGAGCTGAGTTCAGTGTACAGTGCATTGAACAAAACAGTGGAGAAGATTCCTGGGAAAGACAAAAGAGAATTATACGACACACTGGCAAGTGAAGCAGAACAGGCAGGGCACAGGTAAAACAGACCTAAAGACACCATATAAGAAAACCAGGCTGCTTGCTATCCGGGACGAGACGAACCCAGGTGATGAAACCAATAAAGATGTTCACGGGAATCCGATTACCAAGGAGGAGAAACAAATAAAACAATGGGATGATCTCTTTCAAGTACTATTGAATCGACCATCATCTGCAACTCATCCGGAAATACCACCAACAGAACGCAGAGAACTGCCTTCTAGTTGACACCAATCTTTCAACAGAACAGAAATCCTGAATGTGACCGAGCTCCTGAAAACCGACGAGGAAGGTGGCAGGGCAAGACAGAATTCCCCCATTACGAAGCACTGAAAACGTACCCAACGACTGTGGCACATGTGCTCACGCAGTTTCCTCAAAACGTCTAAAAGAGGAGAAAGGTGTTTACTCATTGGAAGAAAGGTTACCTTTTCTAACTAACAAAGAGGGGCAAATAATGCCACTGCAAGAAGTGGCATGGAATAATGCTCTGATATTGACTTCCACAGTGCTGTCCACGGTGTATTTTGAAAAATCTTTAAACACTACAGCATGTAGTCCCTCAAATTTCTATCAACCTCATTCAAGAGCTTTATGACAATGCCACGTTTCAGGCGATTCCCAGGGGAAAACTCAGCAAAGAGTTCGAAGTGAAACGAAAGTAAGACAAGGCTGCTTTTATTTGTTTTGATTATCCCCGATGACTTTCCACATTGTGGTGAACTAGATTATGCGTCAGACTATGGAGAATCAGAAGAGAGTTAATACTGTTACGACAATATCCTACAAATATCTTTTTTTCTAATGTTTACTATGTTTGAAAGACATAAAAGTCTTAATTCCTTTTCTGTTGCTAAAAATGACCTGCGAAAACTAAATTATGTGTCTACAACTCTAGCTATGCAGCATTCTAGACTCAGGAACTACTGGCTTTATAAATACTGAGAACATTATACAACAACAAAAGACAAAAGACAGGAATACGCTGGACTTATCAGATAACCCCAGATCTGGATTTCGCAGATAATTTATGTTTGATGTCACACAGACTCGAAGCCTTGCAAGAGAAAACCAATAAACTTGCTGAAGAGGCAGCTTAGACGAGACTCCATATGAACTTAGAAAGATGGAGGTGATGAAGATAACCAACCAATGGTAACAGCGAACAGCACAAATCACCACTAATGGGGGAGACTTGACAGAGGTTACTTCCTTCACTTATCTGGACAGGAGGCATGGTTTCAACTACAGGCGTAACGGATTAAGATGTCAAAGCTGGCGAGATACGCCTCCATCAACCTGAAACCAGTTTGGAAATCTTCTGCACTGCACTCAGCCAGTGTATATAACAAAATTCGGATTCGCAACACCAATGTGAAGTCAGTGGTTGCTTATATGCGTGTCAGAAACTTAATCAACGTGTCACGGAAAGGATTGCCAACAAGATAGTGTAGAATTTTATCAACAGCTGCCACCTTCACTGGCTTCATACTGAAGGTCAAACTGCTGGGCAGCAAGAAGTGGCAATAAGAAACTCTGGGAGAAAACCGAAAAAGAGTCGGTAACCCAACAAATATTTAGAGGAAAGTGCAAATAGACTGGGCATGCACCTGGGAGATAGTTGAGTGCTATTACACTCCAGAGCAATCCTTGAGGGCAAACCGAAAGGTAAACAACGAATAGAGAGTTCGAGGGTGACGTGGAGAAGTTCGCACGGGGAGACGAGGGATTATGGACTAACATGTGACCATCTGGAGAAGACCGCAGAAAATAGGTCAAAATGGAGACGTGCCACGTTGAAGTATTATGTTCCACGCCAAACCCAAGGGAACCACAGTAAAACTACCATAATAACCTGTTTTCCGCCTGCATACCGGTAGATTTTTTGTGTTGGATGGTGACAGCCATGGATGGATGAGGTGTAAATCTCATTCTATTAAGAAATATCTAACAGAAACACAGTTATGAGTGGTATGCATAAATGATCGAATGTAGTTTTGGTTACCCCCATACTGTTCAGTTCTGCTGACCATAAGACAGGATAGAAAAAGGGAACTCGCTACCTTTTGCCTGAGAAGTCAATTAATTTTTAGAAAGCAGCAGACAGTATAGACTGTCTACACTCATGCAGACGATTTATTTGAGATTAACTTAAGGCATTTTCCAAATATGAATGGAAACATCACATATTATGTACTAGAATGATTAAGGTTATTACCAAATGTTTCACTAAAGATAGGTTTTCACATTGCTTTCGTCATCAGTCAAAGCTTTCGGTATGATCTTAGTTCGTAGGCCATACCTTGCCGCTGCGTGATAATAAATGACTTGTTGTAACGCAGTTCACACGATAAAACCACATGTAAAAAACTGGATATATTTATTGTCAACCATAGTTGGATGAAAAAAACAATGGAAATCTGATGGATTCACAAGATGGCATGCAAGGGAAACATCACATATTTGTTTTAGTAGGTCACTTTCAAGAAACAGCAACAAAATAAAAATGTCTTTCAAGATTCCGCGAGTTGGACCGTACAGAAGATTAATTGAGCAAGTTAAATGAAAAATTCGGTAACAAATCTTAGATCGAATTCAGATGATAGCCAGAGTCGCCCTAGTTCACAAGATAGAAGCTTTGGCTCACAGTCTACTGTGCAAATGCTTCTTCCAAAAGATGAATTCGAAGAATCTTCAAGCCAGAGTTTGTCACAAGATGTAAGGAAAAACCCTGAATGTCACCAATAATTTACAGAGTTCTTGTCACTGGAACTCTCTTAGAAGCATCTGGAGGCAAATGGACCGCGAAGATACAATCACGAATCCGAATTCATGTTCAGAAAAGGAGAATTACCACATTGATAATTTAAAACTTAAGTAAGAATGTGTAGTAGGATTCTTAAGTTCTAGTGTCTTACTAAGCGATGTAAACGAGTCTATCGACTACTTGACAGCATCAGTAAGTTGACCGTAAACAAATATGACGTTCTCTAATTAGTTAAGTACACTAGGAGGAGCTATGGAGTCTTCAAAACAAAAGGATACATTAGAGACTTCTGTGAAACTTGCTAAGCAAATATCTTATGAAAAAGAGCTTCTTTCAAGAAAGCAGCCTGTAGGTCAATATATTATTTGCAACTAACTGATAGTATTTAATTAATTCCTTAGATAGAGTGAAGAATTTACAAAAGAGTGTTTCAGAGCGTATGGACAGGTAATGACTCTGATTTCCTTATATTGTAAGACTGTTGTCAAACATTGAAAGATCTCTGGCTGACGAGTTTACTTCGTGCAACTTACTGCCAACCGATTCTTTTGAGAAACTGAAACAATCAGTTGAACTTTACCGAAACAGCTTCAAAAAAATATCACCAGCAAATAAGCTGCATGAAACAAAAAGCCTCCAAACTCCATCAGATGTTAAAGTTTTTAAAAAGGAAGAAGAAAACAAACCTGAAATTAGTGATATGTGGTCTGAGACTAATGAACCTATTTCAAGGACTCCAGTAAATTCCATGGTAGCTTGAATTTCTTATCTACTTACAGTAATGTTTTAGTTTTCTAGCGTGAATTCTGCTGTTTCCGTACATATGAAATTTCGAACACCACATTCAGCAACAAATAGAAAACCCAACGTTCGTACAGTGCAAAGACTGCCTTATTCCATTCAGTAAGTTAAACACTACACTGAAAGCAATAATAAAAATTAATGACATATGTACTTTAAAAGTTCATATCTTAATGGCATATAATACTAAAAATAATGACAGAGAACACATTCAAGCTGGAACTCAATTTCCACCAGTACTTTTTACTAAGAAAATTTGAAAGATCTAGCACAGTTATTGCCGACTGTCTATATTTAATTATATCCGCTTTTGTAGATTCACTTTATAAGTTCAGAGAGGTATCAGTCAATTACTTAAATCACAGAAAATAGAAGCTTTCAGAGGCACACTATTTGGCTGTTTTTAACTGGGTAAAAGCCTTACTCTATGCATATGTACTTTCTGGGGGCAAAATTCTTTTCGCAGTTGGGCTTAACTTAAGCAACCTATTACCTCACCATTTGTTGAGTTTGACTAAATTAAAGTTGAATAGACATTTAAGACTGCACCAATTTATATCAAACAACTTAGCATGCTGATATTTACACAAAACTTTCTCAGTACAGAAAACTAAAATACTGGGAAACTAGGATTCTCGTTGAGAAAAAGTCGAAAATACGAGCGAAATTGTACGGATTACTCATATTGTGATGTAAAAATACTCAGTATTTTATGGTGACTTCAATCATTAGAATTTAAAATCCAAATAGCCATACTTTTACAAAAGCATAACACATTTTCGGACTAACTTAGCACTTTATGACGACTTTCAGATAGCACACAACCAAATGTTTCAAAATGAAAACAAATTTCATTGGAAAAAAACTAAGTTGTTTTCGCTAATACATGTATTTTATTTGTTCTTTTCGTGTTATTTAGAACGCGAATAGTAAAAAAGGAAAGTCCTGATTCCTACAACATTCGGACAACAGCTCAATGCCTACAAAGAGGTAGCTCCAGTTGCCAACGCAAGACTACTCGTTACATACCATCTCCCGATGGAACACCCGACAGCAGTGATTGTATATCTTTATCAAGTATAATCGATCTATAATATAACTTAGTTCATATGACTTTTTTTTATAATTTACTGATATGGAGAACATAGATTCAGAAGATGATTTATCAGAGTAGAAGTTCCCGTGAACCTGCAACAGTTAAAGCTACTACAGTTTCACCCCTTGCTTAACTGTTAAAGACTAACGTGAGCATATACAAAAATTATATTTGTTTAATGTGCGGCTAAACATTAATAATTATGGTTAATAGCCACTAGTCTGTTCGTGTCTTTGACTTTCGAATACCAGGTCTCACTAAGAGTAGAGTAAGATAGAACAGTACAGCCCACTTCTATTTTAATGGATATCCTCAGGTGAACAAGTCACAACAAAACCGACTTCCTCCCTCCACTGTAAGTAGGAGTTGGTGCAGATGTGTTGCGCGGCATTATTTCACACTAAATAGGGATAAACCACGTATCAGACACTCTTAGATATTTGCTTAGGGCATTCGGATATATGATAAACAGTACGTCAGTTTCCGACCCCATAGACTATGAGTATGAGTAATGTAAATTATTTCAGTTAATAAACGAGAACCAGTCATCTGAATCTAGAAAAGAAAGTGAGGATTTGAACATTTATATCAGAAAAGAGACAGGATTACTAGACAATGAGGTTCTCTGATATAAAAAGACAACTTATGCACTGTGGTTGAGTATAGTTTCATTGTCGATAAAATTTACTTTTGATAAAAACTCACAGTGTTGTTATACAGTAGTATTTACTGATGATCACCTTTTCAGCGCAATTTATTGCTGCTAATGACCATATCAAGGCAATAGTTACACAATATTCCAGCTTCGTTTATGTGATTCTAGTATTTCTCATTTCTTGATTTGATCGGCAGTAATATTTTCCAAATTTGTAGTATTAGTGATTAGTCATTCCCATGGCACGTGTTAGGTCTAGATTCTATTATTCAGAATTGAGTAATCAACCTCTGTCTCCACCTACCTATATTACCTCTTAGGATTTTAACTCTCTCCTACCCTACTGTGTGTCAATGAATGCGATGCAACTGCTGAGTCTGTCAAAATTACACACTGCTTATCTTTGCGGTGGTAAATCATTCTAACCCTAGCTAGATTCTTATGTTCTGTTAATCTGACTACACCCGACCTACAAGTTTCACCAATGTAGTTGATTTAACTCACAGTCATCGAAAGGTATTTTGCTAATTATATCATTCTGTTTAACTAGGACAACAAGGTCCTTTAATCTACAGGGCTTGTCCTACCTGAGTGAGTTTGTAGGTTTAAATGTCACCTTATTTCCTGCTTTATTAAGAATCCAAGGTAGGGTCTCAGATGTCCCCTCCTTATGTGGTAAAACTACTGTAGATGCCTTATATTCTCTCTTATTTATGTTATCATTATTAGTTTTCCCAATATTTTATTTTGCTTTTGATCTTTTCTGATTTTCCTTATGAATTTTATAGGATAGTTATTTAACACCAACCAGCTATTCTTCTATCTGTTTCATTTTATCATTTAGGTCTTTTCTTGCATTACTTAGTGCTACTGCTCGGTTTGTTAGACACTTAACTAAGCCTGCCTTAACAGTTAACGGATGAGGTGAATTAAAGTCTAAATATGTATTAGAATGCGTTGGCTTTGCTTTATATAAACATTAGTGTGCGATTTACCTTCTTCTATTCGTTTGATTTTACAATCTAACATAGCTAATTATTCTTGTTCATTTTCCCATTCAAATGAGAATTTTATTCCCTCTACTAGTGAGTTTATATGCGTCAAGAAACTAGAGATATGTTCTGTTTTTAACACCGTGAAAGTGTCCGTCATCCACATATCTCCACCATATTTTGGAGTAGCATTATATGTATTAAGAGCAGTATTTTCCCAGTTGTCCATAAAGATATCTGCTAAGATAGGGGATATTGGTGATCCCATCACCATACCATCTGTTTGTTTGTATACTTTGCCTTGGAATTTAAAGACAGTAGATGTGAGGCATAACTGAATTCCTGAAATAATTTACTCAGTGGGCAGCTTTGTCTTATGAGTAAGTTCAGGATCAGCAGTCAGTTCTCTTTTAACTGCTTTTAAAGCCATATTGATTCGTATCTTAGTATAAAGACTAGCTATATCAAAACTAACCATTGTTTTATTATTCTCTAATTGGGTGTCATTTAATTTCCTCTTCATTTCATATGAATTAGTTTTTTTATTTTTTTTATTACAGCTTGGTGCCACACCGTATTTTCAGTACAAGTATGGAATTTTCAGCATGGATATCGGTAGCCCAAATTTCGCAGGCCGACCATAGATATCGGGTGTGCGTCGGCAGGGGGGCGAACCCCGGACCATGTGCATGGTCGGCGAGAGTCCAAACTACTGTGCCACCGACGCTTAGAGTTTGGACGGTTTCTAATTTGATAAAGTATTAGAGCTAAGTGTTTTGATAATTCATAAGTAGGGGTGTTCCTGAAATCTACTATTGGTCGTATAGGGTAACCTGGCTTATATATTTTTATAATACCATATTATTCTACTAGCATTGTTTGTTTTAGGCATTAAACTAAACCATTTAGACTCACCCAGTGACGAATTCATTCTGCGTATTAAATCCACGGTAGACTTTTTAACCTTATTAATTATTATATCTACAGGCTTCTTAATTTCCTCATATGGATCCGTTTCAGTCTTTTCAGTGACTTTCTTGATATAGTCGGATTTGTTTATAACTCGCGTCGAGTTTCCCATGTCAGCCTTTATGACGATGATGTTTCTATCATTTTTAAGATTAATTAAACCTAGTCTTTCCGATTTCGTAAAGTTTGATTGTGTTTACCTTCGCTTGTTCAGAGTTAATGCACACTGTACTCGAACCTTTTCTGCTGCTGCCTTGTCTATTGCACTTAATGCTAATTCTATGTTAGGAATAACATCCTCTGGTTTTAGTTCAATAACTATTAGGTTGAAATTTAATTCCTTCTCCAGCACTTTTATCTCACTAGGTCTCAGTTCTTTTGATGAGAAATTGATCACCCACTTTGTTCTGTCAATGAGGGATGAAACGTTACTGTTCTTTTCTTCAATTAATTTGTTGAATTCGCGTGTTTCTTGATTTCTTTAATGCCGTTTCTCTAGCTTTTTCAGGGGTTTCAACACCAATTTTATAATCTTTATCATTGATCATACATTTGAGTTTTTGAGCTTCATTTCGTATATTGTTTAGTTTCATAATAATTCCATATAGTTCTTCTCATAGATGTAGTCTGCTAACATATTCCGCTGCTGATTTTATTTTCCTTGAAGTAATTGTAGTATGTAGGCTTTAGAATTAAACGGATAGTGAGAACATAAGAATTTAGCTAAGGTTAGAATAACTGACCCCTCAAAGATAAGTAATTTAGAAAAAAACTCAGCAATCGCACAGCATACATGCATTAACACACACAACCACACAACAGGGTGGATGGGACAGAGTTGAAATTCTAAAAAGTAATATAGGTAGATGGAGATATAGAGAGGTTGATTACTGAAACTTTGTTCATAGGATCTACACCCAACACTACCAATCAAATCAAGAGATGCGAAAAAGTGGAATAATATAAACGAAGTCGTAAAGTTGTGTGATTATTGGCTTGACATGATTATGAGCAGCAATAAATTTTGCTGGAAAGGTGATCATCAGTAAACATTACTGTATCAAAGCACTGTGTGATTTCATGAAAATAAATTTTATCCACAATGGAATGAGGTTCTGTTGTGTTGCTCTATTTTTGACCAAACTAGCGTACACGTATATTCTAGTACTTCTTCGCGTTTATGTATTGTGTCCTAACGCTGTGATTACTCGACATCCACAACGTAAATCAAAAGGCACTTGCGAAGGAATACGATCGTGTATTATCACAGTAATCAAACTTCAAAAGTTGAGCGAGTACAATGTATCAATTGTTAATACGCAATCTTTAGAGTGAAAATAAATCAAAGTCCAATTACATAATGAAAGTATACTACGATGATGAATAATAAAATGAGTCACTATAGTTCTTTATATTACTAAACATACATTTTCCCTTAAATTAGGAAGGCATCTCAACGACTTTTATTTACATAAGCAACAACAGGTATAGTTGTGGTGAGAGCTGACTGTTAGCCAAAGTTGGTAGACAGTAATTGACGTCAGTGGTTATGTCCCCAATATTGGTGGTGAGAAAATGAGAACAAAGGCTTTGCGTAGGCAGATAGAGTTAGCATATGGATGATCTGACACAGCCAAAAAGAGATGCAAGGTTAACTTTCTGTGCGTCGGTGGCACAACGGTTAGGACTCTCGCAGACCATGTACATGGTCCGAGGTTCGATCCCCCGCCGACGCACACCTGATATCTATGGTCGCCCTGCTAAATTTGGGCTACCGATATCACATGCTGAAAATTCCATACTTGTACCAAAATACTGTGTGGAATCAAGCTATAATTAGATTTTTTTTAAATAAAAAAGACTCTATTTTCTACTAACAATAATCTACAATAATGTACATTAAAATCTATAAATATGTGTTGATTTTCCTTAATAAACGATCTGTTTCCTGACTCTTGCCTTCTGTCGTTACATAGTAACCCCAGTAAATAATGGGCAAGTGTAAGATATCGTAGATTATTGATCACTACACTGAACAAGACTGAATTTCTCAACATCAGTTTGTGACTTACAACCAGAAATATTGGGTAGTATTAGCAGTTTATGATGTATATATTCAGTATGTTTTCTTCCAATCAGACACAAATTTAATGTGGTTTGGTAATTAATAGGGATGGTAAATACCCAGTGCTTATTTTTACTCATAAAAATTAGAAAGCTACGAAGTGATACGTTATACATACAACAGACATTATGCGTCCGGCAGCCTTAAAATTGGGAGTATAAGCTATCGTAAATTGTAACTACCTGTCAGAAATCAAAGCGTTAAATAAACATGGCGACTGAAATTACATTTAACATATGTATCACGACAATTATGGAGATTTAAAATTCCTTAATTTCTGAAACCAGTTCACTAAAAGCAATTCTTAACATTTGAAGTATTGGTTTTTGTTTGATTGGTTGGAGGATTTCATCATGAGCTGACATCGGTGAGAGAACCATTGGAAAGCCAGCTGGGTGTACTGGACAGCCAACTGTTTCGTTCTAGTGCTTGGGATTCTGCGGCAGTACGCACCCACCGGCGTTCGAACACAGGACCTTCTGGTTACAAGGCGAGCCAGCTAGTAGACCATTAAGCCACTGGGACCCAATCCAATGGTTAACCCATAAATTCTAACTTCTGCCGATTCATGACATAGCGCGACCACTTAACAGTTGTTCAAAAGATAGAGGATACCGTATATTACTTAACTATAGACTGATATAAGAGTGTATTTTATACATGTCATTGTAGTGAAAGAGAGATGTGGCTCGGATGTGTCATTGTGTAGAAGGCAAAGTTAATATCATCTATAGGATAAACTACAACAACTGTGACGAACATAATATTGACCAAAGTTGCCATCCTTTTCGTTTTGAACTGCATGAACATTAACTGCCTGTCAAAAGACAGGAAGGTCACCAATTCCCTCATACCAATGCATACAGATAAGTATAGACACTAATTGAGCTAGGAAACAAACGAAATACTGAGAATGCCAGGGAATTCATAGATACCTAGTGGACAAACGAATCTGTGATCAACAAATACAGCGGCATAGACCAAACTTATGAAAGAACAGAAGGGCAGTTGAGTCAATAGAAGGTCATCTTTTAGGTTAGCAGAATAATTAGTTGCAATATAAGTGGACAAGACGGTTAGAGTTACAGGAAAAAACGCTCAGCAAATACTCATAAAGAATTCTAAAAGCTAATTTCATATTGAAGTCTGCGCTAGAGTTATTGAGTCTAGAAAGCTTCGCAAATAAATCCTCCACAGCCCAGAGATCACAACTACACCACCATGTACTTATCCAATAGAGAATGTTAGTTAGACATCAATCAAGCACCAAGTCCTTCAAAAAGTCTAATAATACTGAGAAAACACTTGCCGATGATTAGTCCCCTGAGTTAAGCAGTTTTACTGGGACCAAATGAATTAAAACTGCACTTTATTCGCTACAATCTGAGATACTACGTAGGATAGATACAGTGTGGTCTGAAGCTAAATGCACAAAACAGTGAAGCGCAACACAACCCCTCTCTGCCACAGTTCAAAATTCCTGTTTGATTGAATTACTTCACAAAAACTGAAGTTCGTGTAACTTGTATTGCACATTCCCTGTCCATCTCTACCACTTCATGAAGACACTTATCTCAGGACGTTACGTACACCATCAAATCTTCTTGTTGCATGATATTATTACACAACGACCCTTTTAGAAGATGAGGTATTATAAACACTATAAAGGAAGAATTTAGTCAATTGCTAAACGCTTTCAGAGTGAACAGATGAAGTAGAGACGTGTTGATCACGTAAACAAAGCTGTATGAAAAATGCATTAATTATCCTACAAATAACAAAAATGTAGTGGCAGTTCATTTTGACACAACGGTGGGGGAAACAGATTCGTCAGAACTACAATGAGCACAGATAAGAGGGAAAAGTAAGTAAGTAAAGACTTCGTGTGCTCTTGGAAGTGTGTGGGTGGTTGTTAATTCCCGGATGCCCACACCGTGGAAGTTGGTTGATTCCTCGGGTACCTGAAGCAGAAAGAGGGTTATTGTTGCGTGACCGCGGACACCAGGAGACAACTGCTTGATGCTGGCCGGTCAAACACGGCCTGTATGAACTGGTTTCTTGGTTTGGTTCCGTATTAGTAAACTTACCGCTGGTTACGGACCACCATAGATTAAGTCGGGATGTACAATTGTTGGGATCGACTTTTTCTAAACCCCTTTCTCCAGAGTAGAGAGACAGCATAGTTGGTCATCTGAGGGGAACACCTCACTGCTGTTACATCCCTGTTCCCCAGTAGTATAACTTAGCCAACAGACTCCCAGCATGCGAAGGAGAAACATAAGGATTCAATGGGTATGGGAATTCACAGGCAGTGAGTGCATCTGTACCATCAACAACGGTCTCAAGTCATTGGATATCACCTACCCGAGGACGCCAACCAAGCAGTCTACAAATCCCTATGTGGCTGATTCAAATCAACTTTCAATGACTCCATTGACTGATGCCAAGTTGTCGTTTAACTACTCTTAATACTTTCAAACGAAACCCCATATCAGTTAACATTGCTAGTCTAGAAAGTCAGTGGGCTCGACATGTGCAACATGTGTCCTAGTCATCTTAATCAATTCACCTTCATAACTTTATCGATCCACTTACCATCCTCATCAAACACCTCGCCACCTGTTTTCAAAGACAGTTAGCCTTTCATATCTTCCACTTTCCATAATCATGTCTTGCAGTCATAGAGGAAGGACGAAGTGAATCGCTGTGCAGTACACATATCCTTTGATCGACAGTACAATATACTGAGAATTACCAACTGCAACATCAACGGGAGGGATTTGAAAGAGGTTACTTCATTCACTTATCTAGGGAGCATTCATTATCTCAACTACAGGAGGAACGGACGAGGATGTCAAATCGAGAATCGGGAAGGCGAGAAACACATTCATCAACCTGAAACCAATCTGGAAATCTTCGTCACTCAACTCACCATCAACAACAAAATTCGAAATTTCAATACAAACGACGTCAAGTCAGTCAGTTCTTCTATACGGATCAGAAACTTGGCCAGTGTGTCACAAAAAATATTTCCACCAACAGGTTGCAGACCTTTATCAACAGCTGTCTTCATTCTATACTGAAGATCAGATGGCCGGAAAGAATCACCAACAAGAAACAAACTATGGGAACAAACAAAACAATAACCAATCGCCCAACAAATATGCAGGAGAAAGTGGAGGTGGATTGGACACTCGCTGAGCAGAGGAGGCCGCTGGGTGACATCGCACGTCAAGCCATAACTCGAGTGGAACCCGAAAGGGAAGCGCCAAGTGGGTCGTCAATGCTAGGGTGACATGGAGGAGATCGTGTGAAGAGGACTTGAAACAGTATGGACTAACATGGATGCAAGTGAAAAGTACAGCAGGAGATAGAAGCAAGTGGAGACGTGTAGTTGAAGAGCCCTATGTTTCACTAGGAACCCAAGGGAACAATAATAATATATGCCCCGAACATGCATACAGTTCATCATTATTGCATGAGTGCGGACGAGATCATACCCCCCCCCCTTGGTAATCCAAGCCTTTGTAGATGGAACAAGATTCAAAATCGTCACCAGCTTGTTGAAATACCGGATGCATACAGTGATGCACACAGACACACACCCAAAATAGAACAAAGTAAGTTGAAAAATAATAATAATAATGATTGTCTTCAACTTTTTATAAAGATGAAAATTACACACAAAAAATTAGCAAATAAGAAAGAAAATTCTTTTGTTGTTGTTCTAGCTGTTGTTCTGGTTGAATAAAAACAAAACTTATTCGACTGAAAGTGATAATAATCTGAAAGGATAGAAGTAAAAGAGTAGGGTGTCATTCAGTAATTCATTCAGCCAGTAAGCCATACACATCTTATTTATCACATATATTCAAAAGTACACAAGTCAGAGTAGATCTTTATTAATTTAATGTCAGTGTGTTTATTTGTGGGTGTGCTTGTTTGTGAGTGGGTGCGAGTGTGTTATACGCTTAAGCGATAACACAACCGCTATCATTTTTTGGATCTTTATCAGTACTGAAGATAGGCATTTCACGAACAGGTTCAACGGGTGCATCTTTAGGATTGGCTTGTTTATTATCTTTGGAATTTTTCTGATACAAAAAAGAAGAAAGAAAGAAAGAACAAAAAGGAGAATATTGACAGAGACAAATCATTTTTAGTCGCATTATATAATGATGATTTGGATGTATTAAAAATGGTGTGTGTGTGTTAGATGACACTAATGATGGATTTTTATTACTTTGAAACAATGGACAGGTTACTATTTATAAAAATTGCACAGAAAGGTGATAAGTTCTTTAAAAAGGAGGAAAGTATGAGCAACACAGCAAAACAGTCCTCATCTTACGTCAAATTCCGACAGTAATAATAATAATAATATTTCACTTTTTTTTATTTCCTTCACGTTCCCCAGTGGAACAGAGGGCGGCTTCAAGCTAGTGGCTTGAAGTTTCTGTAGCAGTGCTTATTTTACAGGATGGAGTTGCTAGCCTCATGTCCAACCTTTCCTCTTCACCAGCATTATTTCTGGCTTAGCGAGGTAAAGGAGTGAGTCGGCCGGGGATCGAACCCCGGACCATGTGCATGGTCGGTGAGCATCCTAACCACTATGCCACCGACTCAAAACATTTCACATTAGTGTATATAAATAAACCGCAATAACTCCTTCAAATACGGGTACATACAAACATAGATAAATTCACGTTATTGATGTAAGGATAAAACTTGAGCAATATGGTAGAGTGTACCACATAACGTCTCTGACTGCAGCACTGCATTGGATGACACGGGTTTGAATATCAGAAGGGACATGAGTTCCTTCAAGTAGGTTACAGATACGCCTTGCTAACTGACTGGTGAGTGCCAACTCGCACGAAACCTAGATCAAGTAAGACTTCCTGTGGCCGATTGCCTCCAACCATGTAATATCATCAAATCAATCTGCAATGTGATGGCTAGCCAGCCACCTACAATGGTGGCCACATTGCAAAACCTGACTGACTGATAGAATTCAGTCTGCACCAAAGACAGGAGGACTAGACACACATCACACTAGTTATTGACTAGTGTCCAAACAAGAGTATACCTCCATTATGCATAAAATTTTAATTTGACAAAATCACACCCAGTGTTTGTTATACAGTAATATTTACTGATAACCACATTTCGAGCACAATTTATCATTGCTCATTGTCATCATATCAAGGCACCCACACACATACACACAACTTTCTTGCTTCGTTTATATATACATGAGTAAAAATTGATGCGATTAGACATTTGAATAAATATTATAGGGAAGATTTGTAGCTCAGGTGGATGATTTCGATATAGTTGTGTTCTCTGAGCTGGAAGGTTTACTTGCGAAGCTTTCATTGCCCTAACTGGGCAACATTTTCAGCGTAAACTTCGAGTTGAAATATCCAGCTCAGAGAACACAACCACATTAAAAACACTTGAATAAAATCAATATAAGATAAAGTACATTAAGAAACAATAATGTTAGCGTTATCAACAAAATACAATAAGATGGGAAATAAGATGTTTTTCATAGTAAAAATAATAAATAATTTGTTAGAATGTTATAATGTGAATTGAATACATTTTAACACTATTTATTATCCTCCTCTGATCTGACTGGCGGTAATAATATCTTCCATATCTCTGGTATTTGCGTTGAATCATTTCTGTTGCATGTGGTAGGTGTAGATTATTCGATGAACCAGGATTCAGTAATCAATCTCTCTCTCTCCGTTTACCTATAATACTTCTTAGAATTATGACTCTGTCCCACCCACCTTATTGTGTGGTTATGTGTTAATGCACGCGTTCAGTGCAACTGCTGAGCTTTTTTCTAAATTATTTATCTTCTCGGGGTCAACCATTCTTATCTTGGCTAAATTCTTATGTTCCGACAATCTGATTACCCCCGATCTACTAGTTTGACCTATATAGTTGACCTCACAGTCATTACAAGGTATTTTGTAAATTATATTATTTTTTTTAATTGGGTCAACCTACAGGATCCTTGAGCCCACAGAGCTTGTCCTACCCCTCATTGAGTTTTTTAATTTCAATACCATCCTAATTCCTGCTTTATTGAAAATCCTACTAAGTAATGTGTCTCAGACAAGAATCGTCTCACTTCTAGTTATCACATAATGACAGATGACATTTGAGAAAGGTAAGCAATTCGGTAAGCATTTGAATGCACAAATGAACAAAACAAACTGTACCACATCGACTTTAGTTTCGAGAGAGAGAAAACTAAAGGCGACACAGTTAATTAAAACTTACGTCACTCGGTTATATCTAACACCTGTGATAATAATTATTCGATAAATATGAGTTTGAAAAAAAAAACAAGAAATTCATGAGAAAACAATACACACACGCACAAAATAAATTGAAGAAGACAAACTATGCATAGAAATGCATCATTGTTTGTTTGGTAAACCATCTTACATATTCAAAATCAAACATATTCACCCAATTTTCCGACATATTTTGATTATTGTAGTTACTTCAGGATAGACGCCTTGAACGCTGGAAAGAACATTTTGAGGAACAAATTAACTTGCCTACAACCACACTGAATCTCCCCACCATCCAGCACACACCCGCCGAATGGGATATAGACACTGGTCTGCCGTCTGTAAGTCAGGTCACAAAAGCTATCTGTAATTTGAAACGAGGCAAAGTGGCAGGACCCGACGGAATTATTCCGGAGGTGTTTAAATATGGGGGTGACATACTAGTATGTAGATTAACTAAGGTACTAGGTAACGTCTGGGAATCAGAGACGGTTCCATCAGACTGGAGTAAGTCACTTATTATACCAATATTCAAGAAGGGAGACAAGTCCTCATGTGATAATCATAGGGGGATCAGCCTAACGAACATAGTCTCTAAAATCCTAGGCTCAGTAATCATGCACAGACTAAGCCGAACTCGGGAGGAACAAAAAAGGGAAAATCGAGCAGGCTTTAGGCCAGATAGAGGGTGCATAGATCATATCTTTACTCTCCGACAGATCCTAGAACATAGACACACTTTTAGGCGTCCAACAATTGCCATATTTCTTGACTTGAAGGCGGCCTTCGACTCTGTGGATCGAGAGGTACTATGGCAATGTTTGACTGTGAAGGGAGTGTCAAGAAAGTACATTGCACTAATCAAGGCACTCTACTCAAACTCACGTAGCCATGTAAGGGCTTATGGGGAATAGTCATCTGAATTGATAACAACCAGTGGTGTCCGTCAGGGATGTCCACTTTCCCCATTTCTGTTTAACTTCATCATAGATATGGTAATGGAAGTATCCTTAACTGAACTTAACGACTTAGGAATCGACTTGTTACTAGGGAATAGTCTTATGGACTTAGAATATGCAGATGACATTGTCCTGTTAGGGGAGGATGCTAACAAGATGTAGTCTACTGAACACCTTGAGCAGCAATCTTCGTATGTTTGGCATGCGATTCGCCCCTGTTAAATTCAAGATGCTGCTACACGACTGGACTACGTCAACTCCTAGCATAGTGATAGGGAGTGAAGTGATAGAACATGTTGACCACTTAACCTATTTGGGAAGTTGTATCAGCACCAACGGATTGATTAGTGACGAAATCTCAGCACGGATCCAAAAAGCTCGGGCTGCTTTCGCTAACTTACACCATCTCTGGCGTAGGCGTGACATCCGACTATCAACCAAGGGACGTGTGTACTGCTCAGCAGTTCGCTCCGTCCTTCTCTATGACTGGCTCTGAAACATGGCCAATACGAGTTGAAGACATGAAAAGGTTGACTGTTTTTGATTACAGATATCTACCATCTCTTTCTCACGTTAGGTGGTATAATAAGGTAAGTAATGTCAACGTTAGGCGTAGTGTTGGGCAAAGAGGGAAAATCAATCGACGAGGCTACAAAGTTACATAGATTGAGATGGCTAGGTCACGTGCTGCCCATGCCTAACCATCGCCTCCCCCTCCCGACAGGCATTACTAGCTGATATAGGTGCAGGTTGGAAAAGAGTAAGTGGCGGCCAAACAAAAACATGGCGTCAATCAATCCATGAAATCCCTGACAGTTAAACTCAGTCAGGTAGGGAGATGCAGACTTCCGGGTTGGGGCCCGCTCTCGGGACTCCAAGAATCAGTGGCTGGAGACAATAGGTGACATGGCTCAAAATCCTCGTTGTCAATGGCTTACGCAGATGTATTCAGTCTCTTGTGTAATCTTTCATATTCCTTTCTACCATTACTCATTCTGTTTCACTCTTATACTTGTCAAAACTCTATTGATTCTCTTCACTAATCTTCTTGTCTACCTTTGTGTGCTATTTAGAACGTGGCAACTGGAACTGCTGGACTTCGGTGCTAAGTTTTATGTTGAATCCAGACAGACAGATTGTAGTTACTATGCCATAACAGAAAGTTGCGAAGTGAGACAGAATGTAATGTAATGAAGGTGACCACCAATCAGCGAGGTTCTATCAAGTCTCAGGTGTGTTGGGACAACTACTCAATGATTGAGATTTTGCTGACAGTGGTGCTGTGAATTGTAAATCCATAGAAGTTAGAACTCATGGACCATTGAACACTCCTGTCCAAGTGGCTGAATGCTCAACAGGCTGGCCTCGTAACCTCACGGTCCTGGATAATATCATCGGTTGGGTGGTGGGTGCCTACAGTGATGAAGAGTTCCAGAATAAGAAGAAACGACTACCCACTACTCACTCCTTGTTTTTCGGTGGTTCTTTAACCGATATCAATCCGTGATTCAACAACTGTTTACATAGAACATTAAGAAGAATATTTTTCCAACTTATTGTTCAATCGAAATAATCTGCTACTAGAAAGCTTTTTGATGATAAACATTTTAAACCACTGGAACCCGATCTGCCAATTCATGACATAACGCAACCACTTCGCGATGTCTTCTTCGATTACTAACTGTCCTCACCTCCAGCCTGCTGTAGTACCCTACTAGTCACGGCTTCCTCCACTAGAACTCCAGGTTAACTGCCTGAATATGGCCAGTTGCTAGTAAGCATCAGATCAATTATCAAGTGGTTGTGCTCGGATCGGGTTCCAGTGGCCTTGTAACTTGAAGGTCCTGGGTTCTAACCCTGGTGGGTACATACTGTTGAAGAGTCCCAAACACTAGGACGAAACAGTTGGCTGTCCAGTACTCCTAGCTGGTTTTCCAATGGTTCTCATCTCACCGATGTCAGCTCATGATGAAACCCTGTAACCAATCAAATCCCTGCAAAGCAACATTTGAAAACACCAAAAAGAATTAAGCAATGGTACATATATATATTCGTGGATTTGACCATAAATAACAGCTGGAAATTTTACCTAGCAAAAGAAAAGAACTTGGGTATGGTGGATAGGTATGAATACTTTATTCTATTTAATACATAGAGATGATTTTTTTATTTTTTTACTGATAACATTTCTGGGCTGGTTTATTGGCAGCTTATATTGTACGCTTTGATATCGCTACGACTGATTAACTATGCTTGAAAGGTTATCCGTATAGATTATACTATAACACTGTAATAGGCACTCATAAGTCAGAAAAAAGAGTGAGAAGGTTGGTTGTGGGGTTAGAGATACTACCCTCGGGAAAATCAATCCGACTTATACAGAATTCAACTACAGGCGGAACTGACAAGGATATCAAAGCAAGGAGCGGAAAAGCAAGACAAGCTTTCACTACTCTCAAGTCTGTGTGGAGGTCAACACCACTCCTCAGAATGCAAAATAGGATCCGGATTTTCAACTCCAATGTGAAGTCATTAAGTGTTACTATATGGATCAGAGACTTGGCGCATCATAAAGAGCACCTCAAACAAACTACAGACCTTCATTACCAGTTGTCTTCGCTCAATACTCAAGATCAGATAGCCAGAAAAGATCAGCAACAAGGATCTCTGGCAATGAGCAAACCAACCAGGAACCGATTGTGCAACAAATCTGCAGGAAGAAATGGAGATGGATTGGCTGGCCATACTCTGAGGAAACCATCAAGTGACATCACTAGACAAGCCATTGCTCGAGTGGAACCCGAAAGGGAAGCGGCGAGTTGGTCGTCAGTGCAAGGGTGACTTGGAGGAGGTCATGTGAAGAGGAGATGAAAACGTGTGGGCAGACTTGGAGCCAGGTTAAATCTCTAGCAGAGAACCGAACGCAATGGAGACGTGCGGTTGAAGCCCTATGTTCCTATAGGAATTAAAGGAAACAATAATAATATAATAATAATGATAATACAGATAATCAGAAAGGAGAGGGTAACAAGAAACTCCAGCAATGTACTAACAAAGAACTCATCGCACAACAATTACGTAGAAGTAGGAAATGGATTGGAGATACGCGCTGAGGGTACACCCATGAGTGACATCACACACACCTGACATTCCCACAAGTAGAACCTAAAAATGAGGAACGACGATTCGGAGGCATCAGACAGTGACATGAAGGATATCGTGTGATAACGAAAAAAAGAGAACAAATTGCAGTGAACATTTGCTGATGAAGCCTTACGTTTCACTCAGAAATAGAATATTCTATTTCGATCTAATCAGCAGCGTAGTCGATGGATTTTCTCAGACATTCGCTGCTGTCCCAATTAGAAAGTGGAGTATAGAATCTTGATAATAATATGAAAACACAAAGCAGACAAAAAACAGAATATCTAAGTGTGTATTAATTAGGTTGGGGGTGGGTGGGTTGGATACTTTCAAAAGCTTAACATGCATATAAATTTAGAGGTAAAAATTTAACTTACAGATCCTGATACTATATTATCGGCAAGTTTGTTCATATCGAATCCAATATAAACATCTTTCCATCGTGAATCTAAACTGAAATCCAATTCTGGTTCTTTCGGTGTTGCAATACCATATTCAGCTTTGATTTCTAAATATGGAGCAACTGTGGGAACTTTTTGATGAAATCTATAAAGTAAAAATGCAAAAGAGAGAGAGAAATTCTTTGTTTAGGGAAAACGGGAATGTGAGTTTATTATTTTTTCTTATCAGTAGAAATATAAGATAATTGATTGAATTAAAAAGAATAATAAATTATTTATTAGTAGTAGTAATAGTATTTCCTTGGTTTCCAAGTGGAACATATAGAGGGGGCTTCAAAAAAACATCGCCCCACATTGTTCTATTTTTTGCCGTCCTCTTCATCTGGGTACACGATTGCCCATAATCTCCCATCTCCTCCTCCAACTCACACAATCTTCTGCATATCACCCTCGCACTGACGACCCACTCGTCGCTTCCCATTTGGGTTCTACTCAAGCAATGGCGTACATTGCGCACGATGCCATTCGACCGCCTCCTCAACGTACCATCGATCCATCTACATTTCTTCCTATAGATTTGTTGAGCAATCAATCGGCTCTTGGTTGTGGAGAAGAGATCCCACGAGATCTCGTAACACAGTGTTTCAGTAAGGGAGAAAATAATATCCTAGCAGAACTTGAGGTAGCAGGTGATATTAGAGACAGTAACGTCTGATATTTCACCAACGAATATATCCCAATCAGTAGTTTTAACTCACAAAAAAGTTGGAGATAACCACTTCAAATTGAAGAAAAAATTATCATTTATTCATGGCAACTTATTTTGATACAATCAAGTATCCAACCTGTGTACGGATACATCTATCGAAAAGAAAACATGGCTGAATGGTATAAAAGTTCATCGTGTAGCCTGAAGGTCCTGGGCACAGTTCCCCATTGGGTTATGGGTGCGGACCGCTGAAGAGTCCCAAACAAGGGTGGAGAAAACTGCCCAGAAACATTATTAATTTTAATCACTGTAAAAATCTACTCAAATCTTATCATTTGGGCCAAGTTCAACTTTAAGCACCAGGAAATACCAGTGGAGTGCAACCGCACCAACGACCTTGAAGCTCGCAATAGGCAAGTAAGTGAAACCTGGTGAATAATACTATAATCATGAATAAGACATGCTGAATGCGGTGTTGTATTATTAAATGGGAAATCCGGCCAGTCTCAGATAAGGTTTGGGAAAGATTACGTTCGGGTTTAGGCTAAGGATAGGTTAGGGTTAGGTTAACCTGATGAAGACGACATTAGGGTTGGTTCGAGTTAGACAGATTATGGTTAGTTTCGGGATATTTTCATCGTGCTGAAGTTTCTGTAGCAACTTTGTTTACAAGGTGGGGTTGCTAGCCTCACGCCTGGGAAGGGGATTGTAACATTGAAATATAGTTTACAGAGAAGCGACCTTGTGGGATGATCCTCTTAAAAGCAGGAAAACAAGGAATAAAACAATCAGAACAACACCAGAAAAAAGGAAAATAATTCACAACAGGAAGGGCGACAAGCGACAACAACAATAAAAAAGCAAAACGTAAGCAGTAGTATCACAGTCAGATACAGTTAACAAAAATGATACCAAAATCATAGACTCACTGACTTGAGCCAACTTGAACATGTAAATCCATCAATATATACAATTATAGATATTAGTTAGTGTTAGACAGACACAAAATCTCAAACATATAGCTATAGGTATTATCAATCAACAAGATTATATCCACAGTTTGAGTGCTTGAAAGGCAAATAATTACAATAATTTTTGCTGCTTCTTGGCAAGAAATTCCACAGAAATAAGAGTTTTATGTAGCTACGTGAATGTAGCGTAGTAATTGAAGATTCCTGGTCAACATCAACAGCAACAACAACAGACAAAAATCAGCATAAATGGGAAGAACCTGAAAGAAACAACCTCTTTTACCTACCGACCTGGAAGCATCGTTTCAACTACAGGCGGAACTGACAAGGATATCAAAGCAAGGATCGGGAAAGCAAGACAAGCTTTCATTTCTCTCAAGTCTGTGTGGAGGTCAACAGCATTCAGCACGAAAAATAAGGTCCGGATTTTCAATTCCAATGTGAAGTCAATGCTACTTTATGGATTAGAGACTTAGCGCGTCATGAAGATCACTTCGAACAAACTACAGACCTTTGTTAACAGCTGTCTTCGCTCAAGATCAGCAACAGGGACCTGTGCGAGCGAACCAACAGAGTAGGAACCGATTGTTCAACAAATATGCAGGAAGAAATGGAGATGGATTGGCCATACTCTGAGGAAACCATCAAGTGACATCATTAGACAAGCCATTGCTCGAGTGGAACCCGAAAGGGGAAGTGGCGAGTTGGTCGTCAGTGCAAGGGTGACTAGGAGGAGGTCATATGAAGAGGAGATGAAAGCATGTGGGCAGACTTGGAGCCAGGTGAAAACTCTAGCAGAGAACCGAACGCAACGGAGACACGCGGCTGAAGCCTTATGTTCCTCTAAGAATTAAAGGAAATAATAATAATCGGGATATTTTCACGTTAGGGGTTATGTTAAGGAAAGATTAGGCCTATTGTGTTAGGGGGTTAGAAAACTAGATAACTGCACATGCACAGAATGTGGTTAAATTACTCTGTTATCACTTCAATCCAAAAGTGAGAGGTATTTTTTGTCACATGTCAGAGAAAGGTATCCCGTGGTCTAATAGCTTCATGCCTTTTAAATCATTATTTTCATGAATGCATGGATTTCATACGGCACAAAAATCGCCTTTATCATGTGGTTGGTAAATTCAAGGTCTAGATATGATGGAGTAAGTTTGCAGCTCAGGTGGATGATTTTGATGTGGTTGTGTTCTCTGAGCTGGATAGTTAATTTGTGAAGCTTTCACCACCCTACTAGATGACATCTTCAGCGCATACTTCAATTTGAGTTGAAGTGAGCTTTTAGATTTCTCCACGAGTTTATTTATCATCTCTCCTCGTGACCTTGGACGTGATTGGTTGTTTTTGTGCGTTTTCACACCTTCTAGGCTACTTGTATTGGAACTTATTGTTTCCTTGACTTGAACTTTGTAATCGATGTTGGCTTTATCTTTTTCCGTTAATGAGTCTTTTGGTTGACATAAAGCTGAGTGAAGTGATTTTGTTGGTTTGTATGTGACGTCAATTCCTAATCACTGCATGACTCTTCAAACCTTTAGAAATTAACGTCGTACACAAACCAACAAAATCACTTCACTCCGCTGGCTCTATGTCACCCAAAAGACTCAACAACGAAAGAAGATAAAACCAACATCATCTAAAAAATAAATTGTAACAACAGCGAAAAACACTACATTGGCCAAAGTGGACGTCCCCTTCGTCTTCGTATCCACGAACATAAGCTAGCCGCCAAAAGACATGACATCCACTCCTTCATATCACTACATACAGACAACCACGGACATCAATTCGACTGGAACAACGTTCAAATATTAGACAGAGGAAACAACAAGAATGCTAGAGAATTTTTAGAAGCCTGGTATTCCAGTGAATCATCAATCAATAGACACATCGAGATAGACAAAATTTACCAACCGATAAGAAAGGAACCTCACACACAAAGGGTCAAAGTACAAGTCAACGAAACAATGAGTTACAATACAAATAACCTAGGTGTGAAAAGGTGTGAAAACACACAAAAACAACCAATCACGTCTAAGGTCGCCAGGAGAGATGATTAATAAACTCGTGGAGAAATCTAAAAGCTCACTTCAACTCAAATTGAAGTATGCGCTGAAGATGTCATCTAGTAGGGTGGTGAAAGCTTCGCAAATTAACTATCCAGCTCAGAGAACACAACCACATCAGAATTCAAGGTCATTTGTTCGTTGGTAACTTACTGGTGTTTAAGTTTAACCCTGTTGTAATTTGATTACTGGATTTCATCATGAGCTGACATCGGTGAAAGAACCATTGGAAAACCAGCTTGGAGGAATACCGTAAAGCTGTTTCGTCAGCCTAGTTTGGGGCTCTTCATCAGTACGCATCCACCAGCACCAGGGTTCGAAAATAGGACCTTCTGGTTACAAGGCTGGCGACCTCGTAGACCATCACAAGCCACTGGGACTCGATCCAATGGCCAGTTCATGAATTCCAACTTCTGCCAATTCACGACCTGGCCATTGAGAGCAGACGACATGAAAAGATTAGCTGTCTTCGATCATAGGTGTCTGCGTTCTATCTCCCGCGTGAAGTGGTGTAATAAGGTGAGCAATATTGAGGTTAGGCGTCGAGTCCTAGGTAAGGCGGGGAAATCAATCGACGAGGCTGTGAAGTTACATTGATTGAATGAGATGGTTAGGACATGTGCTACGTATGCCTAGTCATCGCCTTCCTCGACAACGGGCAATGTTAGCTGATATAGGGTCAGGCTGGAAAAGAGCTAGCGGCGGTCAAACCAAAACATGGCACCAATCAATGAAATCCACAACAGTTAGTCTAAGCCACGTAGGAAGATGTAGACTTCCTGGTTGGGGCCCTCGGGATGGTAAAAACCAATGGTTGGAAACAATTGGTGACATGGCTCAAAATCGTTCTCAGTGGCGCAGATGCATCCACTCCTTGTGACTTATGATTTCCAATTAAACTGTTTTGTTCTCCGTTATTACTATTCCTTTGTCTCACACCTCTGTTTACTGTCTATATTATGCATTTCTTCTACTTCCTTCTCTTGCTTTGCGTGCTACATAGATTGTGGCGACTTGAACTGCCGCACATATGTGCAAAGTTCTATGTCGAAAACCGACCGACCGACCGACGACACTGGACGAAACAGCTGTCCAGTCCATTAATCCCTGGCAGTTTTCCAATGGTTCTCTCTAACTGATGTCGGTTCATGATGAAATCCAGTAACCGATCAATCAAATCCCTAGATTATCACGATAGAGAGAGAGAGAAGAAAATATGTGAATCAGCTCTGTGCAAGGAAAGAAATTAGTGAAATTTCCGACAATTATTATTATTATTGTTATACTGTTATTACTCTGACCTTAATACATAAAGGTAATTAATTTTTAAAGATTTCGAAATAATACTCTGTATACTTATTAAATAAAAGAAACTCAGAGATTTGAAAATTAATTAATTGATTTATTTGTTTCATTAAGAGAACACATGCTCATTTTTGCATTAAAATCAATACCATAGTGATATTGTGTATAATTTACTTATTAGAAATAAAAGACAGTCATTTCAAATTAAAGGCTATTCAGTATATCTTAGATTATGTGAATGTGGAGATGTGGTTCACTGGAGCTAAAAGCACTCCGCCTCCAACTAGTGGGATCCAGGCTCGAATCCCACTCCATCTAGATAAGCCTGAACAACTGGGTAGAATACATTGGGCCAATAAGAAAAGGCTCTTGAAGATCTGGACTTTGAGGATGATTTGTGTCGAATGTCGCAAAAACTTGAAGACCTACAGGCGGAAAGCAACAAGTTGGCAGCAAAAGCAGGAGGTGAAAACAGGAAGTGAAGTGAACATAGAGAGGACGGAGCTGATGAAAATAACCAACCAACCAACCAATAACAAGCACCCATCACCATCATCGGAAGGTACTTGAAGGAGACCACTTATCTAGGCAACACTGTTTCAACTACAGGCGGAACTGATGACGATATCAAAACCAGAATCGGAAAGACAAGACACACCTTCACCACTCTGAAATCAGTTTGGAAATCTATCGCACTCCGCATAAAGGAAAAAATTTTCAGTTCTTCTCTAAAGGTTAGAAACTTGGCCATAGTGCTTCACGGAAAGCATTGCCAACAGGTCACTGCAGACTATTATATCAACAGCTGCCACCTTCGCTAACTCCATATTGAAGACCAGATAGAATTTAGCAGTAACGAACTCTGGGAAAGAACCATCCAACAACCTAACTCCCATCAAATATGCAAAAGAAAACAGAAATGAGTCGGATGCATGCTGAGGAGACCATTGGGTGACATCGAGCGCCAAGCAGTCGATCATGTAGAACCCGAATAGAAAACAACGAGGTGAGCATCGTGAAGCCAGAGCAAAAGAGGAATGCAGAGAAAGGATGCCATGGAGACGTGCTGTCGAAGACCTATGTCCCACTCGAAACCCAAGGGAACAATAATAATAATATAATGAACTGAGTGGCATCATCAGCCCTCACACGAGATGTGTGGCTAATAATATGGCACCGGGTGGATATTAACTATCTGGTTTATGTGGATAACAGCTGAAGAAGCTGAATCTCAAAAATAAAGATACGATAAATCAACCATGAATGGACCTAAAGTAGCAAAGATCACTGAATAAAGCGAAACAACAATATAAGTCATTAGAAGAACTTTTGCGGTTGAAAAGCACACAACAATTATCAGGAAAACTACGATTTCCAAACACCGCTGAAATATTCCTTTTTAAATAACATCTTCAAAACAAGGCGCAAAATTTAATTCATTTTCAGAATTTCGAATAAATTGGTTAAACTGCTTATTCGCATATACGAAACTATTATTTGAATAACTTTGTTGACAGACCTTTTACAAAGAACAGGTGAAGGTGTGGCTCATTGGCGTAAGTACTCGGTTTTCAGCCGGGGCGACGCTGGTTAGAATCCCTCTCCACCTACTTCGGCCTAGGTAGTAAGTATCACCAACCCTCACATGGAAACTGTGGCTCTGATATGTAGACCGATAAACAATAGGTTATTTTTTATTGGTGATACGGTAGTCAAGGTCAGTCCGAAAATAAACCAATCAGAAGTGGCCTACGTGAAACAACGTCCATTATTTTATTGATCATGATTATAGACTAACTGACATATCTTTGGTGATCTTTTGAATCACACATTATTGTGTAAAATATACTGCGACCGAGAAGTAGACTTTTCGACTCATGTCGTTATGCGTTCTCACTTAAGTAGAGCGAGCTGTGGAGAACAGGTGACTGTCGTGTAACATTATCAGCATAGTCAAGTGGTATTCATGATCAACACGTATGTGTCCAACTCCACGTTCCTATCTCACTCCCAATGTTATTGAGAAATATAAAGTGGTGACGTCATAACAGGCTCTGAACCTAGTGCATAGAAAATCTGTTGCATGTAGTTGAACTTAAACACATAAACTTTGACTAGTAACGCAAAAAATATACGCGTAAGTTGAAGAAGAGGAAACATGTTATGCGAATTCATGGCTTAGGACGAACGATACTCAATAGTGAGTAAGGTGTTGATAAGAAATTATAGACATGAGGCTCAGAGAATATATAACTAGCTCTGTAAGAAGCACATATATACGAGAGAGAGAAAAAAAGAATTCCCAATAAGAATAAGTTTTTCCTCAATACCTCCAAACGATAACTTACATCAGACCATTTTCACGATCACATTTATTACGTGTCCGTTCAATTAGCCCAGGGAGACGACGAAAAAAGCAGTGATCAGGTGGTTTAGTTGACAGACTTACACCTTCTACTTTTACATATTCACGGGCAGCACGAAGTGCCTTTTCATATGCTATAGAAAAGGAAAGGATTATGAAAATTTGACGTCAGTGTAGATCTCGTTGAGAGAGAGAGACAAAAACACTGAAAAGAATATTTGTTCTTTACTTATTACTTACTAATTTTCACCTTAACATTTCTGCTTTTTACCTTGTTAACCAATCTCTAGTGTTCCTCTTGCCCAACTGGTAGCGGCTACACATTCATTCACGTAGTGGTCAGGCTTGTATATCACAATGGCCCAAGCAGCTACACTGACTGGACTCCCCCTCGCCACTATGTTGGGGGTCTGTGGGCAAAGTCGTACTGCCACTGGGGAATAGGGACGCAACAGCAGTAAGGTGTTTCCATCAGATGCCCACCATGCCAGGTTGCTTGACCCTGAAAATTGAACATCCCAACTTACCTTGCGGCAGTCCGTAGCCGACAGTAAGATCTTAATACAGATGCTATTCCAAAGACGAATTAAAACAGGCTGCAGCGTTTAACCGGCCTCAATCAGCTGTCTCATAGGTCCTGCGGTCACTCCGAGAAAAAACAAACTTCCATGGTGTGGACAGTAGGGAAGTAACAGCCAACCCCCTATACTTTCAAGATCACATGAAGTCTTGCTGACCCATTTCTTTTACGAGTATCTTCATCACGTGATCACTTGCTTGTGTAACATTTTTCGCATTAAACACAACTTGAACGTGTTCCTTATCCGTAGCACTCATCACAATACTATGCACGGTCTGCTTCCTGCCTTTTCACCGGTGTATACACAGATAAGAAATCACTGGGTCAATAAACGGAATATTATCTGTCTAGGATAAACTCTACAGACATCAAATTTCTACAATATTCTTTCTCTTTTTAACGTTCTTTTTTTCCAACAGTTGCATAACACTGGAAGAGACACCAGAGTGATTCAACCAAACAGAAATAAGTATCCAGTTAAGTAGGGTGTGAATATATATATTAACTTACGAACAGATGCCTCTTTGAGTACAGCTACAGCTTGTCCAGCTTTTTCTTTCTCTAACAAATCTTCACCATAATAAACGTAGGCCTTGAGTAGAAATAATAAAGAAAACTATTTGATCAATGTATCTAGCAAAGTAGGCGTGAACACAGCTGAACTCAAAAGGAACTGTAATAAAGGGATATATACGATTAAGAGAAACAATTACCCGAAGAATAATGACGACTTAATGGCACACAGTGTTATATATTAATATTCACTGGTGATTATGTTTCGAGCACAATTTATTATTGCTTATCGTCATCATGTCAAGGCACTGTTCACATAGCTTTCTCGCATCGTTTACATACACGAGTAGAAATTGATGATTGGACATTTAAATAAAATCAATATAAGATAAAGTACATTGAGAAATAATAATATTAGCGTTATCAACAAAAATACAATAAGATGGGAAATTAGATGTTTTCCATAGTAAAAATAAGTAACTTGTTAGAAAGTGAGAATGTGAATTGAACTGAATACATTTTAACACTATTTATTATCCTCCTCTGATTTGACTGGTGGTGATAATATCTTCAGTATGTCTGGTATTTGCGTTGAGTAACTTCTATTGTATGTGTCGGGTGTAGATTATTCGATGAACCAGGATTCAGCAATCAATCCCTCTTTATCTTCACCTACCTCTACTACTTTTTAGAATTCTGACTCTCTCCCACCCACCCTATTGTGTGATTGTGTGTTAATGCATGCATGCAGTGCGATTGCTTTTCTAAAAATTACTTATCTTCGCGGGTAGGGTCAATCATTCTACACTTAGCTGACTTCTTATATTCTAATAATCTCACTACTCCTGATCTACTAGTTTAACCGATGTAGTTGACTTAACTGACAGTCATTGCAAGGTATTTTGTAAATTATATTATTTTGTCTCATTGGGTCAAACTACGGGGTCCCTTTCGCAGATGATTTATGTTTGATGTCACACAAAATCGAAGACTTACAAGTGAAAACCGACAAACTGGTAGAAGAAGCAGCAAAGACAGGACCTACTCCAGGTGAACATAGACAAGAAGGAGGTTATGAAAATAACCAACCAACAACAACAGCAACATCCAGCGTCAATCACCATCAACAGGAGGGATTTGAAGGAGGTGACTTCATTCACTTATCTAGCGAGCATTGTCTCAACTACAACAGGAACGGACGAGGATGTCAAATCGAGAATCGGAAAGGCGAGAAACACATTCATCAACCTGAAACCAATCTGGAAATCTTCGTCACTCAACTCAGCATCAACAACAAAATTCGGATTGTCAATACAAACGACGTCAAGTCAGTTTAGTTATACGGATCAGAAACTTGGCCAGTGTGTCGCAAACAATATTCCCAACAGCCTGTTGCAGACCTTTATCAACAACTGTCTTCATCGCTCTATACTGAAGATCAGATGGCCGGAAAGAATCACCAACAAGAAACTATGGGATCAAACAAAACAAGAACCAATCGCCCAACACATATGCAGGAGAAAGTGGAGATGGATTGGACACTCGCTGAGCTGAGGAGGTCGCTGGGTGACATTGCGCGTGAGGCCATATCTCGAGTGGAACCTGAAAGGGAAGCGGCGAGTGGGTCGTCAATGCTAGGGTGACATGGAGGAGATCGTGTGAAGAGGAGTTGAAACAGTATGGACTAACATGGATGCATGTGAAAAGTACAGCAGAAGACAGAAGCAAGTGGAGACGTGTAGTTGAGGCCCTCTGTTCCACTAGGAACCCAAGGGAACAATGATAATATAATACGGGGTCCCTTAGCCTACAGAGATTGTCCTACATGAGTAAGTTTTTAGGTTTGAATGTCACCCTAATTCCTGCTTGATTAAGAATCCTACGTAGAGTTTTAAATGTCCCCTCTTTATATGGTAAAACTACTGTAGATGCCTTATATTCTTTCTTATTAATGTAATCATTATTAGTTTCATCGTCATCATCAGTAAATATTGTTGTATAACACTATCTGACTTTATCAATGCAAAATTTTATCGATAATGGAATTATACTCTACTACCACAGTGCCCAAGTTTTATCCTTATATCGACGATTCAATGGATCTATGAATTCGTAAAGAGAGAATGCATCTGTACTAGTGTGAACGAACGATTCTCAGCCCCACTTCACCAACAGTTTCCAGCTATTAATTCTTAGTGTCCCAACGACCTCAGCCAAGGAGTCTACATCTCCCCCAAGTGTCTCATACGAGTAGTCAAGACTACTTCATGGATTGATGCCAGGTAGGTGAGGCGGTGGCGCAGCGGTAGAATGCTCGCCAACCACGCAGGTGGCTCGGGGTTCGATCCCCGGCCACAGACGCACTCCTTTACCTCGCTAAGCCAGTAATATGAATAGTAAAGAGGGAAGGTCAGGCATGAGTTTAGCAACCCCATCCCGTAAAAATAAATACCACTGCTACTGAATTTTCAAAGCTCTAGCTTGATGGTGTCCTACGTTCCACGGGGAACGTAAAGGAATAATAAAAAGGTGAGGCGGGGTTGAAACCTGAAACTTGCTAACTCTGAATCAAATGCTCAGGTCACAGTTCGACTGTTCACTGAACACAACCAACTGGTCGGAAGCAAAGTCTGAAAATCAACAAAATGCAGTCCCCTTACAATTTTTATCACAATAAATATATGTACCACTTCACCTTAATCAATAGCTCTTTCTCTCTCTGAAATCTAAATGAACGTATAGAATGTTTTAGATTTGATAAATTTGTTTCAGACAATAAGCAGTTTCAGTGAGTCTTTTGCCCCACCGTTCGTTCTCGTTTGATTCAAAATGATGTCCAATGGGTAAGGATTCCAAAAACCTTTATTCTCCTTCGACTATTATGACAACCACAATAGTACACCACATGAGTTCCTTCGAGGTTGCAGATACGCCTTGCTGACTGGTGAGTGCGAACCAGCACGAAACCTAGATCCAAGGCTTCCTGTGGCCGATTTCCTCCAACCATCTAATACCAACAATTCACAGTGCACCATGATGGCGAGCCAGCCACCTAGAATGGTGGCCACATTACAAGCTTGACTGATAGAATTCAGTCTACACCGAAGATAGGACTAGACACATTACACTAGTTACTGACTAGTGTCCAATCAAAAATATCCAATACAGTCCAACAGGAGGTCAATCGCGAGTCTGAATAGCTCAGTGGCAACGTCTCCGACTGCAGCGCTGGGTGACACGCGTTCGAATATCAGAAGGGAAATGAGTTCCTTCAAAGGGGTCGCAGATACGCCTTGCTGACTGGTGAGTGCGAACCAGCACGAAACCTAGATCCAAGGCTTCCTGTGGCCGATTGCCTCCAACCATCTAATAGTACGCCACGCATAACACCGTTTGAAAACATAGATGATAAGAAATGCTGCCTCTCTCTTTTTTCATCCCCATATGAAAATGAAGTTATGTACTACTTCAAAGTTTTCAATGCACAAAACTTGACTAATTTACAACTCTCACTGAAGACTTATGAATACTAAGAGAAACATTATTGAACAGAAGAGCAAGTTATACAAATATCACAGTGAATAGAGTATTTTAAGAACACTAGCTAACTGGTTTCATAAATCACAGAACTAGATCTACAGTAGTTGCCAAGAGATATTATTAAATTACGCAATATTATCAGCCAATACTGGAAATATCATCATTAAAAAATGAAGATAACAGGAGGGGGGGTAACAGTTTACCCTTTCGATGATGCACGTATGTATAAATAATACTACCGCTTACGTAAGATTCATAACAGCATTGTTTGAATTCTGAATACTTTTTCCACTTTCCAACAATTTTTGGATCACACTGACTCAAGGCTAAACCTGTAAATAAAAAAAGAAAAGCAAAACAATCAGTTTCCTTTTAGTTGTGATTAAAAAACCAACATCGTATATAGTTAAGGCATACAAGGATAGTGATTATTCTTTTGCGTTCCCAATGGAACATTGGGCTTCAAGCTAGAGAGCTATGAAGTTTCGGTAGCAGTGATGTTTTACTTTATGGGGTGGGGCTGCTAGTCTCTCACACCCAACCCATCCTCTTTATCGGGCTTATTATCGATTAAGCGAAGGGTTGAACCCCGGACTAGTAGGGTCCCTTTGAGGAGAAAGAGAAAACTGATCCACTCTTTATCTTTAAGAATAAGAAGGATATGTTACAGTGATACAATCGATGGGGAAGGGGAGCGACTCAGACAAGTCCACATAGAGAATGGATATCCTCCAAGACTCATCGAAAAAACAAACGTGAAGTTAAAGCAAAAGCCTAAAAGAACCCAGACGGTGCTGAAGAAACTGCTATTTATGAGCGTTGAATTTAAAGGTGATACCGCAGCTGAGATCCTGAAGAATCGCTTATGCAGATCACTGAGAAAAGCCTTCTTTATAGCTGAGCTACGGATCAATTTCTACAGCCGACAAATGATCAATGGATGTGTGAAGGATAAACTGTGGCTTTGGGCCACCTCAATGTGTGTTTATGAATTCACCTGCTGGTGTGGAGCTAGTTATATTGCCGCACAAAGCGCACACTTCCCAAACGCATCTCTGAACATTATCCGGCATGGTTAGCAAAAGGACAATGCAAGACAGTTATCAGCTCAATTCTCGAGCATTTGGTGAACTCAGGCCACGTAGCTCCACCAGAGTCGTCCTTCAAGATCATGTGCAAAGTGAATCCAAATGGCACGAATGGCGTCAGGTTTCGGCTTTTGTGTATGGCGGAGGCGTTGGCGATTCTTCAATACAACCCCGAACTCTGTACATAGACAACGTTTGTCCAGTGTCTTATTCTACCTTGGTCTTAATTTCTTCATCAGTCGTCTCCACTGTAAAAAAAATTTTTGATTTTTTCATTTCTTTTTTTCTTTTTCCCGACCGAAAGCTGCTACCTTGACGTGGTGGTCGGGCTTGAACACTGCAATGACCCAACAAGCTATACTGGCTGGAACTTATGTTCCTGCAGGTCCTACCATGCCAGAAAGGTTGTTTGGATAGCAGTTAGACTAAAAGCAGTTACCCAATCCAATCCTATGACTTCAAATAAATCACAAAATATCATGCCGGATCGGCCGGGGCCCGGATTAACAACGACCGCGCTTTCTGCTGCCGTGTCACAGGGCAGAAGTGATAAATACGCTACTGAGACACACCAAATAAAAAAGAACAAACAAAAACAGGCCGTGTGTGACCGGCCTCAAGCAGTTGTCCCCTGGGCTCTGCGGTCACGCAACCAACTTCCACGGTGTGGGCAGCCGGGAAGTACCAATCGCCCTCACAATCCGAAGTGCACGCGAAACCCCTCTAATCCTCGCTCATCTATGTCTTCATCTTCATCTCTATTATCTTGCCTTCCTTCTACCAATGCAACTCCTCTACTTGTTGGCTCTTCACTTCCCCTTCACTCTGTGTGCACTGATAACGATGGAAGCCAAAAAGCCACCACCGATTGTCTCCTAAAACCACGCCACCAATTTTATATAGGAGCATTTAATGTTAGGACACTCTGCCAAATAGGACAACAAGCATCTCTAGCCAAGACTCTGGCATCCCGAGCCATTGATGTATGTTGTGTTTCAGAAACACGCATACAAGACCCAAGTGTGGTTATTCACCTAACCCCAGCTGGCCAACAGGATGAATCTGCAAAATTCACCTTGAGGGTGTCAGGAGATGCGACGGCTAGCTCACGAGGATTAGCTGGTGTTGGGATAGCTTTAAGTACTAGAGCAGAAAAGACATTACTTGACTGGATCCCGGTAGATAGCCGAATGTGCGCTGTCCGCCTAAACGGATCAGTGAAAAGGAGAAAGGACTGCACTACTCGCCGATGCCTTTTCGTAATCTCCGCCTACGCCCCCACTGACTGCAGTTCGGATGAAACGAAGGACGAGTTCTACCAAAAGCTGTCTAGTTTGCTGCGAAAGGCTAGACGCTCAGATATAGTCGTTTTAGCTGGTGACTTTAATGCTCAAGTAGGGAAATTGTGTCAATCTGAGAAGAATGTTGGTGGCACATACGGAATTCCGTGCCAGTGAACCGACAACGGTGACCGTCTCCTACAGTTCTGTTCAGATAATCATTTGTATCTTGTAAGCACTAACTTCAAACACAAGGAGAGACACTGTTTGACCTGGCGACCCCCATCATCAAATCAACGCTGGACACAAATAGACCACATAGCAATAAGCTATCGTTGGCGTGGGTCGGTAGGAGATTGTCGCTCCTTCTGGAACACGTGTGTAGATACGGATCACGCACTGGTCCGCGCTCGTGTGTGCTTACGACTGAACGGACGTAGGAAACAGCTGGCGGTAAACCCATCACGTCCCCAGCTCGACCAGGGAACTAAGTCCCTATTTGAGGAAGAACTAGCTAAACACATATCTGAGTTTGACAGCTGCACTCACCCTGAAGAAGCCTGGAAGAATATTCAGGCAGCCATAGATACAGCTGTAAAAGCTGTGAATAAGGTAAATCCAAAGGTGAGTAAAAACCATTGGATTTCGACTGCCTCATCCGAACTGATAGATGCTAGAAGACTTATTCCGGCGAGCTCCGAATTCAATGAGGAGCGAAAGCTGCACAAGAGGAAACTTACGAAAAGTCTCCGCAAGGACCGTGAACAGTGGTGGTTGACAAAGGCGAAAGAGATGGAAAAAGCATCGGCGATAGGCAACACCAGACAACTATTCAGGCTTATCAGGGAAACAGGTGGTAAAAAACAAATGATAAGCGAAACAATCTCCGAGAAAAATGGCACCATAATTAGCTCCCAGGATAGACGTCTGGAGCGCTGGAAAGAACACTATGAGGAGCAGTTTAATTGGCCCACAGCCACACTTAACCTACCGGACATCCAACACCTCCCTGAATGGGAGATAGACACAGGCCCTCCGTCCTTAACTGAGGTTACTAAAGCTGTCACCAATCTGAAGCTAGGCAAAGCAGCGGGACCTGATTTATTGACTCCAGAAGTATTTAAGTACGGAGGAGACAGTTTACTGTCTGCGTTAACGGAGGTTCTAGGCAGCGTCTGGGAATCAGAGGAAGTCCCATCGGGTTGGTGTAAGTCACTGATCATCCCGATATACAAGAAGGGGGACAAGTCGGCTTGTGATAATCACAGAGGGATTAGCTTGACTAATATAGTATCTAAAATCCTAGGCTCAATAATACTGCGTAGATTAAGTAGTGCTCGGGAGACACAAACACGAGAAAACCAGGCAGGTTTTAGGCCAGGTAGAGGGTGTATTGATCACATCTTCACCCTTCGACAGATTCTAGAACATAGGCATTCCTACCGGCGTCCGACAATCATTATATTTCTTGACCTAAAGGCGGCATTCGATTCTGTCGACCGGGAGGTTCTCTGGCGATGCTTGGCTGTAAAGGGAATGCCAAGAAAATACATTGCACTGATTAAGGCACTCTACTCGTACTCATGCAGCCAGGTGAGGGCTTATGGCGAGTTGTCATCTGAAGTGGTGACGACTAGTGGCGTCCGTCAAGGATGCCCATTATCCCCATTCCTATTCAATTTCATCATAGATGTACTAATGGACTTAACCCTAACTCACTTCAGCGACTCAGGGATTGACTTGCTACCAGGGAAGAATCTCGTTGACTTAGAATATGCGGACGATATAGTCCTTCTAGGCGAGGACTCTGACAAAATGCAGAGTCTACTGAACACCCTGAGCAACAATCTCCGCATGTTTGGCATGCGATTCGCCCCTATAAAATGTAAGATGATGCTGCAGGATTGGACTTCATCGACCCCTAGATTAGAAATAGGAAGTGAAGTGGTAGAACACGTTGACCGCTTCACTTACTTGGGAAGTACCATCAGCCCCAACGGGTTGATCTCCGACGAAATTTCAGCACGAATACAGAGGGCTAGGTTCGCATTCGCCAGTTTTCGCCGTCTCTGGCGTAGACGCGATATCCGACTATCGACCAAAGGGCGTGTGTACTGCTCAACAGTCCGCTCCGTCCTCCTTTATGGCTGTGAGACCTGGCCATTGAGAGCAGAAGACATGAAAAGATTAGCTGTCTTCGATCATAGGTGTCTGCGTTCTATCTCCCGCGTGAAGTGGTATGATAAGGTGAGCAATATTGAGGTTAGGCGTCGAGTGCTAGGTAAGGCGGGGAAATCAATCGACGAGACTGTGAAATTACTTCGACTGAGATGGTTAGGACATGTGCTACGTATGCCTAGTCATCGCCTTCCTCGACAACGGGCAATGTTAGCTGATATAGGGTCAGGCTGGAAAAGAGCTAGCGGCGGTCAAACCAAAACATGGCACCAATCAATGAAATCCACAACAGTTAGTCTAAGCCACGTAGGAAGATGTAGACTTCCTGGTTGGGGCCCTCGGGATGGTAAAAACCAATGGTTGGAAACAATTGGTGACATGGCTCAAAATCGTTCTCAGTGGCGCAGATGCATCCACTCCTTGTGACTTATGATTTCCAATGAAACTATATTGTTCATCGTTATTACTACTCCTCAGTCTCACACCTCTGTTTACTGTCTATATTATGCATTTCTTCTACTTTCTTCTCTTGCTTTGCGTGCTACATAGATTGTGGCGACTTGAACTGCCGCACATATGTGCAAAGTTCTATGTCGAAAACCGACCGACCGACCGATTTCTTTTTTTAAATTTTGTTTTTGCTTTAATAATTAATTCACTATTATCACTCTCATATGTTCCTTTTATACATTCTCACACCATCTTCACACTTGTTAAATTGACAATCAACTACCTTTATTCTCACTCAATAGCAATTTTAACCTTATCAAATTTCTATCTTTGTGCCGTTGAGTACCAGGTAATTTACAACTTTTATTTTCTACTTCTAAAGCCACTTCTGAGTAATTATATAAATTATGTCCCCCGCACCCTTATTACTTAATAACAGACTACTGTACATTTTTAGTAAATATAAATACGACTGTACAGCCGACTCGGAAGATGATTTCGTCGACAAAAATGAGAAAATTTTTTCGCTGAATTTGTCTTTGATTTTCCTGGACTAATTGCTTAGTTGGTCAGTCTTCCGCCACCACCTTTCATCCACTGAAAGCATAATAGTTCCGTCAATATTGCTTATCGTAAATCCTCTGAGTTCTCTACACACGAAGCTATTCTTCATCTGACTCTATGAAGTATACTTTAGAAACTGTTTCAGCATATTATAACAGCTGACGAATTATTATTATTATTATTGTTCCATTGGGTTCCAGTGGAACATAGGGCTTCAACTGCACATCTCCACTTGCTTCTGTCTTCTGCTGTACTTTTCACGTGCGTCCATGTTAGTCCATACTGTTTCAACTCCTCTTCACACGATCTCCTCCATGTCACCCTTGCACCGACGAACCACTCGCCGCTTCCCTTTCGAGTTCTACTCGAGTTATGGCCTGACGCGTGATGTCACCCAGCGGCCTCCTCAGCTCAGCGAGTGTCCTACCCATCTCCACTTTCTCCTGCATATTTTTTGGGCGATTGGTTCTTGTTTTGTTTGATCCCATAGTTTCTTGTTGGTGATTCTTTCCGGCCATCTGATCTTCAGTATAGAGCGATGAAGACAGTTGTTGATAAAGGTCTGCAACAGGCTGTTGGAAATATTCTTTGTGACACACTGGCCAAGTTTCTGATCCGTACGTATAGAAGAACTGACTGACTTGACGTCGTTTATATTGAAAATCCGAATTTTGTTGTTGATGCTGAGTTGAGTGACGAAGATTTCCAGATTGGTTTCAGGTTAATGAATGTGTTTCTCGCCTTCCCGATTCTCGATCTGATATCCTCGTCCGTTCCTCCTGTGGTTGAGACAATGCTCCCTAGATAAGTGAAAGAAGTAACCTCTTTCAAATCCTTCCCGTTGATGGTGATTGTCGGTGGATGTTGCTGTTGTTGTTGTTGGTTGGTTGGTTATTTTCATAACCTCCGTCTTGTCTATGTTCACCTGGAGTCCTGTCTTTGCTGCTTCTTCTACCAGTTTGTCGGTTTTCGCCTGTAAGTCTTCGATTTTGTGTGACATCAAACATAAATCATCCACGCGCGAAATCCAGGTCTTCTAGATTCTTCACGTCGGTCCAGGATATCCCTGTCTTTTCGTTTCCCACTGTCGACGAATAGTTTGAATTTAATATTAGAAAAAATATAACTAATCGTCAGCTTCTGTCTTAGCGTAGTAGTCATGCATATCGTAATGACTCAAGGTCCCATGCTATCCGTAGTGACCATTTTCATATGTTTTACTATGCCCAAAAGGGACAACTGCCTAGTGGTGAGATAGGAGACGCTTGTTGACGCAATGTAAACGCCTTATGCCTAAAGCGAAGATTTGAAAATGAAATCGCTCCGCTGGTAGAAGGTGTGACAGTGACGCTAGATATACCGCTGTTTAAACAACCAGCAAGTCAGCTGCACTTTCCTTCAAATCTAACAAAAAAGAGTTATAAAGGGTTATAATCCACAAAAAATGTACATTCCGATTCAGTCTGTGACGGTTCGTAGATGGCAGTATGTATTGGACAGGAAGCCCTGCTTGACTTAGATTTCTTGCTGGTTGGCACTCATCAGTCAGCAAGGCATATCTGCGACCTCCTTGATGGAACTCATATCCCTTGTGAGATCCGAACCTGCGTCACCCGCCTCCAACCATCTAATGCCACCATTCACAGTGTACCGTAATAGTGAGCCACTTAGCATGGTGGCCACATTGCAACCTTGACTGACAACAGAATTCAGTCTGCAGCAAAGATAGGACTAGGACACATTACACTAGTTACTGACTAGTGTCCAATCAAAATATGGTAGTATGTTTTTAGCACAATATTATGTCCACCGGTTCAATGATGATCGTCGGATATTTGCATCAATCGCTTCACTTTTTGTAAGAACACCTCTTTGTCGCATGACGGCAGTGAATAGAACTTACATAGCATAGGCTGTGAACAAGTGACTATATGAAAGCATTTCGAGGGGATGGATGAAGTCTACCTACCCGCATACACATGTAGCAAGCTATAAGGCTGTAATTACTCTGCAAATAGCCATCTAACAATATGTTGAATTTTAAAGTATGTAAGGTGCTATCTGACTAAAACGTCGAGCTGACATAATCATATCACAAGTTCATACTGAAGTGAAGACTGCCGCTGAGTGTACTGAAAACTAAACCAGTAGGGGGAAAAGCTTTTCCTCCCCAGGTGAATAAGAGAACTGAACCTCTAAAAAAAGCTGTAAGTAAGTGGTGTGTTCCGGAACTCAGTTACGCTGAACGAGGTTCTCAGTAAGAGCCACTTCTAATTAAAGAGTCATAGTAAATCAAACCGGGTTGCATAATCTCGCTGTACAACAATTTACCATAGAAAATGTTACAATAAGAAAACAACTCGAACAATATTATAAAACTTACCACACTTTTCATAAAACTTTGCAGTTTCGTTGGCCAGAGCGGAGATTAAATGAGGTTTGTGCTTTAATTCAATCGCCCTAGCTACAGTAACTAAATTATCGAATAAGGTTAAAGAAAAAATAATGTTTCAGTCGTGCACAGAGAAAGTTAAATAATTTATGGAGACAGTATGAATAAATGTATAACAACGGAAATATGGGGAATGCTTCATAGTGTAGCTATTGAAAAAAAACTTCCTGTGTAGATACTGTATAGACCAGCTCTTTTTTCTTTTAGGCTCAATTACGCGGAACAGGTTTTTCATGCACCCGACTAATCGTCACACTTACCATGTGAGGGCTGATGATACTACCTAGTTGCCCAAGCTGAAGTAGGTGGAGAGGGACTCGAACGTGTGACTCATCAGTTGAAGGCAAAATGCTCAAACCAGTGAGTGATATCTTCAAGACCAGCTACGTAACACCAACCGGAGAAAAAACCAATCGCCACTAATTCCACTAACAATGTTAACTAACTGCAATTATCTTTTAAATCACGAAAAATACCCATTTATTCATAAGTAAAAACAGTTTTTGTTCAGCGAAAAAATTTCTTTTCAACGACTTCATTTTCAAGCTGTACAGTCGTATTTATATTACAGAAAAGGTCATTAAGTGGCACTAAATAATTGCTCAGTCAATATACATATATGAACAAAAACTGTGTTTTTAATTATCTTTTAGTTACAAAATGGTCTTTAAAGGACAGTGAATGTCTTATAATGTGTATACTGAAGAAGAAAACTTAAAAAACTGAAAGGTTTTGAACAACTTGACAATCTTACTTTAAACGGCAGAGAAACATTCTGCACCCCTCCCTTCCCCACAATGATTTACACCAAGCTGACTGTAACTAAGAAACTACTACACACTTTTGAAAAACTGAGACAAATAGTGGATGATTGCATAGTTTTTTTTGATGAATAAGGGGTTTCTCTGAGTACTAAACTTAAAATATGCACCCTAGGAGAAGACGGTGACAAAATGCAGCAGAGTTTTATAAACATCTTGATCAGAAAGCAATCTTTGAATGTTTGGCATGCAGTTTGCTCCCGCCAAATGCAAGATGATGCTACAGGACTGCACCACATCGACTACTCCTATCTTAAATATACGGAGTAAGTGGTGACTGGGCGTGTTGACCAATTCACTTATTCGGAAAGTTGCATCAGACAACGCCAGTGGGTTGATCACTGACGACATCTTAACACGCAAACAAAAGGCTCGTTTCGCATATGGCAGTTTACGCCGTCTCTGGCTTAGTAGACGTGGTATCTGGCTGGCTGTCGATCAAAGGGCGTGTGTACTGCTCAACAGTCCGTTCCGTCCTCCTTTATGGCTGTGAGTGAGAAATAGCCATTGAAAGTGGAAGACATAAAACGCCTGACTAGCTGTCTTTGATCACAGGTGTCTGCGTTCTATCTCCCGTGTTAAGTGGAAAATAGGGTGAGCAATAATAGGGTTAGGCCTCAGTCGAGTGGTAGGTAAGGAGGGGAAATCAATCGATGAGGTTGTGAAGTTACATCGATTGAGTGAGATGGTTAGGACATCTGTCACGCATATCTAGTCATCTCCGGCTTCTAAATCGGATCAGGTTGGAAAATAGCTCCTGGTGGTCAGAGTAAAACATGGCCTCATCAGTCAATGAAATCTACAACAGTTAGTTTGAACTACGTAGGAAGGTGTAGACTTCCTGACTGGTTCGAGTCCTCGGGGTGGCAAAAACTAATGACGGCTGTAAACTATTGGTGATATGTCTCAAAATCCTCGTTCTCAATGACTGGCGCAGATGCATCCACTCATTGTGACTTATAATTTCCAATAAAACTATATTGTTCTTCGATATTACTATTCTTTTTGCCTCATATCTCTGTTTACTGTCTCTATTTTGCCTTTCTTTTTACTTTCTTCTCTTGCTTTGTGTGCTAAGTGAAGTGTGGTAACTCGAACTTCTGCACATCTGTGCAAAGTTCTACGTTGAAACGAGTCAGTCAACCCCTGCCAAAGTGTTCATGAAATCATGCTGTCACCACAAATAAATCATGCATTTTGATTTAGTCGTGTTCTTTGAGCTAGATGATTTAATCTCGAAGCTTTCATTGTCCCCTTTCTAGACAACATCTTCAGAGCAGGTTTCAGTATGAAATGAACTTATATTTGAATTTTCCGTGAATAAAGGATATAATTCTATCTCCTGACAACCAATGTTGTGATTGGTTATAAATTTACATCTCTATTGATCATTTTTATTGACTTGGAATTTAAACTTTCTAGGAGGAGGACGAAAGCTTGACAATTAAATCAACCAGCTTAGACAGAGAACACCACTAAAGCAAAATCATCCATCTTAGCTACAAATCTTTTGCATTATTTCACACTAATACATTCCTAAATACCTCTCATGTTACATACGTGTATTTGGTTTCATCCCATGTATAAAAAAGATGGCTAATTTGCTGGCTAATGCAAGAACTGGCGCGGAATTATGCCCCTGTCCATTCCAAGCAAAATACTAAGGCGCATCATCCTGGAGAGAATCAAACAGGCCCTGGATGAAAAACTACGACCGGAACACGCTGGATTCAGTAGGAACAAGTCGTGCATTGATTAGATCGCCACATTACGGATCATCATTGAACAAAGCTTGGAATGGCAGTCACCTCTCTATCTCAACTTCATCGACTCTGAAAAGGCCTTCGACAGCGTCGATCGAGAGGTGCTTTGGCAACTACTTCGCTACTACGGGGTGCCACCGACAATTATACATCTCATCCAACAGCGGTACGACAATGCTGCATGCCAAGTAATCCACAACGGAAAACTTACGGAATCCTTCGAAGTGAGGACAGGAGTAAGACAAGCTGGCTGCCTACTATCGCCAATGATTTTCCTGATTGCAGTAGATTGGATAATGCGACAAACAGCGGGCAATCAGGAAACAGGCATAAAATGGACACACACAAAAAACTTGGAGGATCTGGACTTCGCCGATGATATATGTCTGATTTCCCACAAAATGGAAGATATGCAAGCGAAAAGCAACAAGTTGGTAGAAGAAGCATCAAAGATAGGACTTCAGGTGAACATAGAGAAAACAGAGGTGATGAAGATTCCTGGACAAGAACAAAAACAACAGACAACGATCAGCATAAATGGGAGGAACCTGAAAGAAACTACCTCTTTTACCTACCTAGGAAGCATCGTTTCAACTACAGGAGGACGGAACTGACCAGGATATCAAAGCAAGAATCGGAAAAGCAAGACAAGCTTTTACTACTCTCAAGTCTGTGTGGGGGTCAAGGGCACTCAGCATCAAAAATAAGATCCGGATTTTCAACTCCAATGTGAAGTCAGTGCTACTATACGGATCAGAGACTTGGCGCGTCATAAAGAGCACATCAAACAAACTACAGACCTTCATTAACAGCTGTCTTCGCTCAATACTCAAGATCAGATGGCCAAAAAAGATCAGCAACAGAGATCTCTGGCAATGAGCGAACCAACACAAGGAACCGATTGTGCAACAAATAGGCAGGAAGAAATGGAGATGGATTGGCTGGCTATACTCTTAGGAAACAAACCATCAAGTGACATTACTAGACAAGCCATTGCTTGAGTGGAACCCGAAAGGGAAGCGGCGAGTTGGTCGTCAGTGCAAGGGTGACTTGGAGGAGGTGATGTGAAGAGGAGATGAAAGCGTATGGGCAGACTTGGAGCTAGGTGAAAACTCTAGCAGAGAACCGAACGCAATGGAGACGCGCGGCTGAATCCCTATGTTCCTCTAGGAATTAAAGGAAACAATAATAATAATTTGCTGTTGAAGGTATTGTGTCTTTCACTGTTGTCGTCCAACAGACAGTAAAACACATGAATTGAAAGAGTAAGGTTTTGATTAATAATAGTGTATATATGTATATAAAATAAACATGAAAAAGAAAGGTTAACACAAGCATAACTAACTTTCCTGTGCTTCTGCCAACGACTGACTTATATAAGCATCTAAAATATTCGGATCCAAATCACTATTCTTTATAAACTCTGTAAACTCATGCATATATTTCTCTCTTAGAAGACTAAATAGTCCAGCAGCTGTACGTAGTGATAAGTGAACATCTTTAGCTTCGTCCTCTGAAACACTAAATTATAAATACAATGAATTATGAGCCAATTAATTCATCAAATACATATAACTAACCTTTCACTAGAAGCAACTTTTGCTGCATGTTTAGTATACCATAAGGCAACATTAAAAATAATTGAGTAAAGCTCAAATATTGAATCATAACGGACACTAAATAAATACAAATTACATAGAAATGTTAACAAACATTGGTTCACCCTTTGGTTTAATACTATCCGACCATTTTACACAGACAAGACCTCTTAATTTGCTGTAGGGTGTTTTGTTATCAACGGGCAAAACAAAGCCCATTAATAACTGTAGGTAACGATTTAACGCGGTCAGAATTGATTCACATGGTGCAGAGGGATCTGAGATTAACTTGAGAAGTTCAACACGACGTTTTGCAGCTTCACTGGAAACAAATCAGAGAGAAAAAATAAAATATATATGAATGAATTACTTGAAACGAGGATTAGAATATAATGTCACGTAAAAGGACAAACTACGCATAATATACTGTAAACGATAAATACCGAGAGAAGAAAGGCCCTCTTGTCAACTTTTCTGAGCAACGGTTTGATTTTTAGTCCCCGTAGTTAGACAACATTTTCTGCCAAGTATTCAATCAAGTAACATGAGCATTTACTATGTTTTAAGGACATTTTTCTATAATTTAACATAAATATCTCGCCTAAACCAAAAGCTTAAAAATGAAATGATGTAAAATAAATACGCAAGATTGGAGGCACAAAATTAGTGAAGACATAAGATGAGGATAATCGTTTGTCTGTCTGTTTTCAGCATAGAACATTGCACCGATATGCAGCAGTTCAAGTCGCCACACTCCCTCCATGTAGCACACAAAGCAAGAGAAGAAATGCAAAATAGAGACAGTAAATAGAGATATGAGGCAAAAAGAATGGTAATATGGAGGAACCATATAGTTTCACTGGACGTTTCTACGCCAGCCATTGAGAACGACTTTGAGCCATATCACCGATTGTCTCAAGCCTCAATTGGTTTTTACCACCTCGAGTACCCCAACCAGTCTGCAAGTCTACACCCTCCTACGTGGTTTAAACTAACTGTTGTGGATTTCATTGACTGATGAAGCTATGTTTTGGTGTGACCACCACTAGCTGTTCCCCAACAATATCCGATTTCGAAGGAGGAGACGGCTAGATATGCGTAACACATATCCTAACCATCTCACTCAATCGATGTAACATCGCAACCTCATCGATTAATTTCCCCTCCTTACCTACCACTCGACTGAGGCCTAATCCCATTATTGCTCACCCTAGTTTCCGCTTAACACGGGAGATAGAACGCAGACACCTGTGATAAAAGACAGTTAGTCAGGCGTTTTATGTGTTCCACTTTCAATGGCTATTTCTCACTCACAGTCATAAAGGAGGACGGAACGGACTGGTGAGCAGTGCATATGCTCTTTGGTCGACATCCAGCCGGATATCACGTCTACTAAGCCAGAGATGGCGTAAACTGGCATATGCAAAACTAGCCTTCTGTATCGGTGCAGAGATTTCGTCAGCGATAAACCCACTGGCGTTGACTGATGCAACTTCCCAAATAAGTGAATTGGTCAACACGCTCAGCCACCAATTCACTCCAAGTCCTGATGTTACAGGATAATTGTTTGAGTGATACGGAGTCACATCCATAAAAGCTATTAGCAGTTCTGCTACAATTCTCTTTTATAACTGAAACAGACAGCGAAACTAACTTTGAACGCAATTACAGGAGGATGATTTACTCCTTGGAGGTTTTATGAACTCCTGCAAGAGACTAGCAAATGTCGTCTTGTGATACCATGAGCATCCTCTCCATACACAATTCTCTCCTTGTATCTCATCGGGTCGAACTAGAAGCAACTACAGAAGACTGCATGCTCGGACGACTAAGTACAAAAACTCTACAATACCCTATTTAGACACATATTATGTGATGAGAAAAGTGTAAGGCAGGAAATTACCAACTTAGTGTGGAACTCTAGGTAAATGGCCCCATTTTTTTACAATTATATTGTTGTTAATATTTTCATTTGGTTTAATTTTTTATATTCATATTAGTGTTGAACTATATTATCAATGTAAATGTCCTGTTTTAATTATTACCCCTGTAATGAGGAAGTCACTGGACTGGACTGGTTTCAACATAGAACTTTGCACCGATGTGCAGCAGTTCAAGTTGCCACACTCCATGTAACACACAGAGCAAGAGAAGAAAGTAAAATGAAATGCAAAATAGAGACAGTAAACAGAGATATAAGGCTAAAAGAATAGTAATATCGAAGAACAATAGTTTTATTGGGTATTATAAGTCACAAGGAGTGAATGCATCTGCACTAATGAGAACGATTTTGAGCGATATCACCGATTGTCTCCAGCCATTGGTTTTTACCGATACTGTATTACTACATGCTGAAAATTCTATATTTGTACCAAAAGTACTGTTTGGAATAAAGCCATTATTATTATATTATAACTATTATTACTGTTATATCCCCTCTTCTTCAATCGTGACACAGGAAGTTTAGTTCACTTTGTGTATGACGCCAACCGATGCTATCTTTTTGTCTAAGTCTAGTGTTCCGTAGGGATATTCAAATAAATTGTGTCGCTTATTCCTGCTAATGAGGTATTTTTGTGTAGATATAATTCTACCACTGAATGAAAGTGTGAAGTATTACTGTAAATTGTTTGTAGAATTCATAAAACACATCCTAAGCTAACACTGGGTGACTGTCCGCTAGACTTCCCGAATTTACCCGACTATCATTTACACTTCAATGCATGAATGCCAGTGATATATAGTTCTCAACTGATCGAATTAAAGTAGATCGTGTGTGTTATTCAGATTTAAAAGTCCACTCCTGGAGTAGCCAGTGAATCATGTGTGCATAGTATTCTACTTTATTTATTTATTTATTTTGATTTTGATTATAGCTTGATTCCAGATCGTATTTTTGGTACAAGTATGAAATTTTCAGCATGTGATATCGGTAGCCCAAATTTTTCAGGCTAACCATTGATATCGGGTGTCCGTCGGGAGGGGCTCGAACCCCGGACCATGTGCATAGTCGGCGGGAGTCCTAACCGCTGTGCCACTGATGCAGATATAGAAATATGAATCAAACAACAAAAGTTCAAAGTCACTGAACTACTGCTGATAAAATTCAGTTTATGTTGCCAAATTTTCAGAGGGTGTATCAATCTCAACTAACTTGTTCTACTGGTAAAAACTTCTAAGCCTTGTAACCAGAAGGTCCTGGGTTCGAAACCCGGTGGGTGCGTACTGATGAAGAGTTCCAAACTACGACAAAACAGCTGTCCAGTACTCCCAGGTTCTCGTGTTTCTCTAGCTGATGTCAGCTCATGATGAAATCCTCCACATAATGTAGGAGTAAAGAAAAATGAGAAGTGATGCTGCAGTGTACCCACAGACAACCCAGAAATGACTATGGTAAAAGAAAAATCCAGCCTCCGACCACAAATTTTGAGAGCATTGTTAATAATATGAAGCTAGTCTGGTGTATGTGCATATTACATTTCTAACAATCTAACCAAACATTTATATGAAAATGAGATCTAAGTTCATAAATAAGATAAAAGACTACAAAACAAGAACAACAGTTTGTAAGTTGTATAAAGCCTGATCCACCGAACATAATGTAAGGCAAGGAACTCTAGCATACTGCATAGTTTAAGGCCTTTGAAATATGCTCAAGGAAGTTTATCAGCAGACAGTTCAGCCATCGACATTCTATCATAACCACTAAAAAAATGAAATATTTGAGAAAGTGATTCGAGATCACTGGGCGGTTACACGTATGTCATAATCCCGACAACATACATACCTGCACAGAGACCTGCTGCTCAAATCTTTAGTAACTGCTCCAAAGTCGAACGTGAGCTTTGCAGTGGCCTTCAGGTGATTTCTATGAAACCAATCTGTCATTGTCAATTTTGTCACAACGCCAGGGATGCAAAATTGAGACACGAAAGATATTCAAGGTAATTAAAGTCGAAAGATTGACAGTGAAAACACGTCGGTGAACTGAAAAAAAGGAGAAGATAAAATGTCAATAGTAATATCAGAATTCCAAAGGGTCTGATGTAGCTTAATAAAATTCTCGACTACCAACAGGACAGGTGAACTAAGTAATACACATTCATATTAAATTTCCTTTGCGGTAAAATCAAGTGAAATCC